CCAACNNNAACCAACAACAACAACAAATAATTTCACAGTAATAACTGAAAAAGATGTTCGTTAATCAGCCTTTGTTTTCCTAGATGTGTGTATGCAGTCTATATGCATTTTAGGCACTGCTCTTATCTATATACAGCTGTATAGAAGATATAAACTTAAGACATAACAAGCACCTTTGTAAAAAGTTCTTCAACTGAAGAGCAGTAATAAGAATTTGTATTACTTCTATCGCTTGCTTTCAAAAAAGGTTTGAAAATGGGTTTACAAGTGTGGAATAACTGACTGCAGGTAAGGGTGGGTGAGAGAAGGGAAAGCAGAGCAGGGCAGAATGATGAGGAAACTTTCCTCATCACCTGGTGGCTCTCCAGCACAGGTGAGATGGAAGCTGAAGAGCAGTGATTTTCTTTGGAGAATCTTCAAACACAACTCTTGTTTGGAGGAAAACAAGGAGAGCTGGTCTTTCAATAGGCTTGGAAGGGTGGGGGGAAGAAGTGATTCTTTGACTTCATTTGTTTTCTGATTTCCACTGCACCACTGTGCAGTGCACGGTGTTGTGCTGCCTGTGCCACTGGTTAACCCCTCCTGCACAGTCGGAACAGCAAAGACACCTCCTAAGTTTGTAGCTTCAGATGCACAGAAGCACGCTGCCAAGCATTCAGACTTAGCTGTCAGAGGAACTGCCTTCACGTCATGGACTTTTCTGTGTGTTGTGAGCCTTCAAGCACATCTCCCTGCTTCCTACAGCCAGCTGCACTACGCCAGGATTCAGCACGCTCCACTTTCCTGCTGTAACGGTGACAGCACCAAGAACGAGTGGCTGCTTCTCTGCCATGCAGGAGGATCGGCTGCAGGGTGGTGGTGTTCTGTGGAGCAGATGCGGTGCAGAGGAACCTCAGATTCATCGTAGAGGTATTTGTGTGTCGCTGGTGGCCCGAGCGCTCCCTGCTGGGACAATCACAAGTCACAGCTCGTGGCACCGCGGTGCCCCACGGCACCGGACAGGCTGTGCATGCAATAAGGTTTGCTGCAACTGGGAGATAGGAGCGTAGATTTCACCCACGTTGAGAAAGAATCAGATTTTAATCTTTGCTCATCTTCGTCCATTTACTGGACCATAATTAATTCTTGCTGTTTACAGAAGCAAACGATCCCTTTTCCCTCTCCCTTTTCCCTCCCTTTATTTATTTAGCTGTGTTTTGCATGAAAGAAACGTTCCCAAAGCATTGTGCTAGCAAGCTGATTTGCATCCTCTTAAACACAGGCATTTGAAGGATTACGTTTCCCACTACAAAAAAAACAAGCACTGTAACAGAAAACCAAGATGTACATTGCAGCTTCGGGGTGTCATGTGAAGACAGTTACAGGAATTAAACAAAATAGGAAAGAAGACAAGCTGCTGAAAGGACTGAGATGTTATTCTATGAAACACTGGAGCTGGCTCCTGTCAGCACCTTGAGCACAGTCTTCCCATTGACATGAAGTGCAATTGGCTTCACTTGGCTTAAACTAGAGATAATAAAACCAAGTCAGCCACAGAAACAAAATCCTAGAAAAGACTAATTACACAGCACAATCTAACAGCATGCATTTCACCAGCCAGCTGGTTCCAAAGGAGATCCAAACAGCACTGGGCACAGTCCTTTGGAGAAGGAGGATGGCTGCATCTCCTCATTTCAGTAGGCTGTGCAAAAAATCATCTGTATCAGCCAATCTAGTTCCCCAAGTAGCTATCATCTCACAAAGCACCTATATCACTGAATACAAATTGATCCCTGAGATACTCTGTATTACTATTATAACAATGCTAGAATGCCTGAAGAGAGATGGGGGACAGTGCTGTATTTGATGAGGAGCTCTCGTTCACCCCTTTTTACTTTATTTTATGGCAGGAGTTCCTTTGGAGCAAATAGCTGCAGGACCGGAGTGTGGTCAGGAAAGCTGTCACTGTGGCTTCTTGTGACCTTCTGTAAATCTCTTTTTGTGGCTCCTGTTAAACTTATCACCTCTCCTCTTCAATGAAATCATTAGCAAAAGGTGATTTATGCAAGCTGATTATACAAGGAAAATAAAAGAATGTCAAGAGATACATTTTAGCCTAGAAGGACCTTTGAGGTGACCCTTTGTGTTACTCATATTTTATGTTCTTATTGATCCAGTTTTCCCTTTTCTTTCTTCACATTTCAGGGTCAGCAGACAAAGAGGAGAACCAGTGAGGGCCTGGATTCAGAACCTTGTGCTGGCCCTGACCCACATGGGGGATGCACAGCAAGTTCACTTTGCAACTGAAGGCAATTTAATTTTGTGTGTTGCTGTGAGTTCTTATTACATGTCACATGCTCTGGTGCATCCTAAGTGAACAGATGATTACGTGCATAACTCAGCAAGAACAAACAGGTTAATTATAGTGCATCACGCCCGTTCTAATGGTGCTGTCTTCCCTTTCAAATCTAGCAGCAAACCTCTCCTGTAGCATCCACGTTCTCTATGTCATATTTAACGGTACAGTAATTAAGTCACAGTAAAATAACAAAACTAATTGTTCTCAGTTCTTTTCTGAAGCTCATCCTAGCTTGAACTCTGTGACAAAAGAAATAAATATGTCTGCACAGCTGGAAAGCTGCAGTAAACATTAACCACGATGCATGCAGCAGAAGCAGGCTGAAAGCACGCTCACACCAAGCAGCTCCATCTCATCCAGAAGCAGAATGACCCGCTGCAGGTGCAGCACAAAGGAACTGCCGTGTCTGCAGCAACGAGAGCTGCAAGAGGGCACAGCTGATGCCGCAGAAGTTAAAGATCGGCTGTGACTTGTCGCACGGGGGCTCTCAGCTGTGTTTTCTTACACCTGGCTTTTACTCCAGTCTCTGTAATTCTCTCTGGAGGGCGGTTCTTACAGGTAGAATTGGATCAAACGTTTGCTAAGGGTTGTTGGCGCATCCCTGCTGAACTCATCCTACGGGGAACGCTGAGACCCCGCTGGGCTGAGGGCTGAAACACGGACCTGAAGAACATATGTGGCACACGACGGCTGGAGAACCTTCCCTAAGCCAACGTCCTGGCTCCTCCCCTCAGCCCTATTTAACCACAGGGATAAAAGAAAAAAAACACCTAAAGAAGAAGGATCTTTGGCTGCTGGTTCAGCACGCGGCCCGGGCCGGCAGCGCGGTGCTCGCAAGCACAGCTCTGCCGCAAAAGGGCCAAAGCAGACGATCATCAAACGCAGCATCGCTCCTTCGGGACGGACCGCGCGCGGTGCCGCTTTGCGGGGCCGGGCCCAGGCGGCCGGGCAGCGCCGGGCCTTGTTTACCGGCCGCACCCCGCCCCGCCCCCTCACGTGACCGCCGCCCGCGGCTCCGCCCCCAGAATCACGCGACCTCTCAGCGGCCGCAGCGCGCACTATTCCGGATCCCTCCGCCGTGAGAGATCGGGTGGGTGCGGCCATCTGTCCGTTCCCTTCCAGCTTCCTCAGAGGAGGAAAGGTTCTTGAGGGAGAGCAGTCGGAGAAGGGCGGTGTGGGACCTGCGCGGCGCCGGGGGAAGGGCGGTAGGAAAGCTGCGCGGGATTACTTTCTATGGCGGATGGATTCCGGTGGAGAGGCGGTTCGCGAATGGGAGGGGGAAGGGGGAGGCCGGGCCAAGATGGCGGCGCCCTGTGGGCCAGGGGAGCCCTGAGTGGTAAACAGCTGAGGGGAGGAGAGGGTGAGGTGAGTGCTGGGCCTGCCGCCGCCCCGCTGGGGGAGAAAGGAGCGGCGGCGAGCGGGGGGCAGCGCGGGGCGAGAGCGGGGAGAGCGCTGTGGAGGAGCCGGCGGGAGAAAGGGAGGGGGCTGGGGGGCGGCGGTGCGCGGAGCGGGGCTGGGGGGCGGCGCGCCTTCCTTTGCCTTCCTCCGCCTTCCTCCGCACCCCCCGGGGCCGCTCGCTGAGTACCGCCGTGGTTCCACTCCCAGCGGCGGTGTGCGGCTGCCCCCGGCCCTGAGGGGCTGCCTGGGTGGGGGCGGCGCCTCCGCGGCTCCCCTCGTTCGGGGCGTTGTTTGTCGGAGCACAAAAACGTCCGGCTTCCCGTTGTCAGGTTGAACTTGGGAAGCTGCAGCTCCGCAGTTTTCACTTTGCGAAGGCGCTCCGTCATTGTGCTGTCTGTTCAGTCAGTGCTCCTCTTTCTCTCTCTTTTTTTCCCTAACGAGCCGTTTACAAGGCGGTAAGTGAGAGAAAGATGTGCCTCAGGGCAGTGAGTGATTCAAACCCCTTAGAAATGACCCGGCGTGGGGATCGGGCCGTGTGTGCAGAGCTGTTTCTAGAAGTGCAGGAGCTTTTTGTTCTTCGGTCCCATCCCGGCCTTTCCTCTGCGGCGAGCTGTTAGAAACCATCGCTTGGAGCTGTGCTGAAGTGATGCCATCAGGTGGGGAAGGTCCTCAGTGCCCTGTGTGAGCCACAGGGAACTGGTAACTGAGGGACTGGAACTGCCTGAGCATGCAGCAGTCATTGTGAGCACTGGGAACGTGGCTGTCTGAAGTTTGCTAAGCAGCAGCAAGGTGCCAGATCTGCTTATCAGAATGAGCTACGTTTAAGCTTGAAACCGAGGTTTTTATGTCCTTTACTCAAACAGCAACAGAAAACATCTCTTTTTGTTCCGTTTTTTAGTTAATAGCCTCATCAGCCTTTGGCTATGTTGTATTTACATGGAGTGACGTGGATTACTCAGATGAAAATGTAGTCAGAGCGTCTGGTGTGTCATGAGATAAGCTTTAATTAAATGCCTTTATCTTTGTTTTTCAATCTCAGCTACCTGACTCTGTTACTTGAGAAGTTACTTTACGGTGACTAACAGAAAACAGTGCTGCTGAAGGGTTCTCACATGAGATGTGCTGTCCCGTGGAAGATGTTCTGAACAAACCAGTGAATGTTGTCTTGGCTCCATACAGAGCTGTAGTGATCCCTGATATTCTGTTGGCTGTCAGATACCTTCTCCTTAGGTCTGAAATGACTTGGTGTTGTGGTCAGCACAGTCCTCAGTTCTGTAAGAGCCAAATAACCTGCAACACAGATGTGTCTCTGGAAAAGGTATTTTCCATGATAAGCAAGTCAAATAAATGGTCAATGAACTTTTTAGTGGCAGAAGTGAGGGAGAGGTACCAGATTTTATGGTATGTTGTAGTCAGATAAGTGGCTTTTTGGAGAGACTGTTAGAGCTTGGTCTGATGTGTAGCTGCAGTGTTTTCACATAATTTTAAAAAATGTGATGAAGACAAGCAATACTACTTTGTTATCATAAGCACCTCTTTGGGTATCACATTAAAACACGGAGCAGAATTTTGGAATCAGTGTATCCCCATTTCACTTTCCTGGGTATTATTCATTGTTTTTAACTGAGAAGTTTAACAGCATTTGGTAACGGTTCTGTGCAGTGCCTGCTTTAATTTTGGGGTGATTAAGATGACAGTGCAGCACTTAGTTTGCAGTGGTTTCAAGGTTTATTGGATTGCAGTGTAACCCCTGGGATATGCTTAAGCATTCTCTTAAGGGCAGACAAACCTGCAGCAGTGGTTCAGGAGTCTCACTTGTGTTGCTCTGAGAACCAGAGCTCTCTGTGCATAGTTCTAGAAAGATTCTGTATCTAAACTTATTTTCCTCATGTGCTGTTGATTAAATTGGCGTAGAGAAGCAGTGCTTGTTTATATTTGTTTGTTGTTAGTATATATGGTTATATGTAAGGAGCTGAAATCACTCCTTGTCAGGTTGGTAACTGGCTTGTTAGCATGGCTGCTGCCAAAGGATTGTGTGTCATCTCTGCTGTGTTTGGGCTTTTTTTTTTTTTTTTCAGTATGAATTGATTTTAAACAATTTTCTCTCTGTCAGAAGTTTGATGGGTAGCAATTAGTGTAATATATTGGCACAGCACAGTTTCAAAAGAATCTTTAAAGATGCTGAATGTGATTCTTTCTTTATTTGGAGGTGCCGGTTTTCTTGGATCTCCCTGCTTCGTTTAAGCACCTGTAACGAAGTACATGAATGTGAATGTAATATTGAATTACACCTTATAAAATAATTACTGAGTTTAAGAGCGGGATCTCGTATTAGATCTTAAAATAACCAGAAAAAATGTAGACTATTAGGAGAAGCCAGACACCTGCATTCTTATAAATGAATAATATTTACTGTTTTGCCTGTTGTAGTGATCAATTCAAACTGATGTTCAACGTGTTCAGGGTTAATATTTTCAGGGGGCAAAAAAGGACACTATGAGTTGCTTACTGCCCTGTTGCTTTTTATTCCTACTCTGTTTTCATTCACTTTTTTTTTTTTTTTTTTGCAGGCACTGTGACTTCTGTAGAGTAGTGCTTAGTTTGCTTGTGAAGATATTCTAAAATCAGGTATTTCTAGGAAACCAAAGCCAGGATTGTGGTGTTTCACATTGGAGGGAGTGAGGCGTGTCCTGTTTGACCATAGAACATCTGAAAGTTTGGAACGTAAGGGGCTCCTTTCTTATCAGTCTGAGGTTTTTTTTCAGAAATAACAATCCCTGTGCAATACTTCTGTCCTCATTCGTGGCCTGCTTTGCCTGCAGTGAAAATCAGACAGAAGAATGTAAGCCTTGAGTTTCATTTCATGGCTGTCAGCAGTGCTCTTACATTGTTAACATCTCCCTACGTGCTTTTGGTTGGGGGTAAATAACCATTTCCTTATATGTCTCAAACTGTATGTAATGAAAAGGGATGAAATGCTGATATGACCCCAGCACTAAGTGCTTCTGAACTCCTGCTTTACTGTAGCAAACGTGAAGGACATTATAGAAGGAGGAGGTGTGTATGTTGAGTGTGTCCCCCTCCTCCCCACCCCTCACAGAGGCATAACTGGCACTACCAGCTGCCTTTTCCCTTGGCTGGAGATAAAAATACACCGAACCGAAGAACATCTCTTGACAGAAATACTTACAGAAGTCATCATCTTTTGAAATACTTTTTCTCCTTCTCTCTGTAGCCTTTTCCAATGAATATTTGTATAGTCTTTCCCTTCGTCGTGAGTTTGTTGCTTAGCTGTGTTGTGTTGTGGTTAAATTAACCACTGAAAACTTTTTAATTTGGTTCTTTACTTCTTGGCTTCTTTGTTTTCCCTTGTAAACTGGCTCTGAAGTTGTGCTGGTACTTAAAGATCGCACTTCAGTTAAATTTGTCTTCATGAAAGGTGTTGAATATAAGAATAAGTATCTTGTTCTTGGTGTTTATATCTTCTGATGAGAAGAAATGTTGTGTGTTAAAAGGTAACGAAGCAGAATTTTTTCAATCTTAATCATTTAGCACATTGGATATTTTGTATAAAACTAATAAAATAGTAGTGAAGAGCCAGTGCCTCAAACTGCATGGCGAAGTTGCATTGTTTCAGTGCTGTCAGTTCTGAGGATTGCTGTGTGGAAATCCTTCTCACAGGGGATTGATTGCAGCAGCTAGTGATGGAAGAAGTAGAGACTTGTCTTTATGCTGTGTGTCTGAGAAGCAAGACACAACCATGATATGATAGTGCAAAGATCTAAGGGAGACCTGGTCACCACAGGTGCCATACCAATCCCAGGTGCAAACTACTGTGGCTTTCAGTGGATGATTTGTTTTGTTCCAAGGTACTGGACGTTCCCCAACCTGGTCTGTCTTGAGATCCTTATCTAAAGATTGGAAAATCACATCACAGGTTACTGTGGGATTAGTCAGAAATCACAGCTCCTGGGAACTGCGCTTGTTTTTCATTCTTTAAAGCATGACATAGTTCTAATGCTGTTGCTGGATTTTCCTGGTTTGTTCATTTCCAGAGTGCATTGTATGCTCTTAGGATTTCAAATCTCTTCCTCACAAAAGGCCTTCAAAGGAAATGTTGCATCGAACAGATTTGCTTTTTAAAAGTTTTTTTTTTTAAAGACTGATTGTGTGTAGTGGTGTGACAACTTTGTACTGGTTTTTATTCAGCTGATCAACTTTCTCCTCTAGTACCACCCCACTGTTAAACCTGGCTTGGGATTCTTTTCATATTTTTGAATGCTGGTTTCTGGAGCATGGCTCCAGTTCATGGCGAGTGCTTTCAGTGCACAACTGACTGAAAGGCAAATTCATTTTGACTGTGCTGAATTTATTGGCACAGGGTTGCTTGAGCCATCTGTTTTATTTAGTTTAGGGGGCTTGGGAAGTTATTAGCTACCTCTGCATGTAGTTATCATGAATTAAGCTTGCATTGTCCACCTTGCTTTGGTCTGACTGTAGTGTTTGTATGTGCCAGCAGCATAAAGTTTGAAATCTTTGTGCCTACTGAACACTTCAGCCAGAGTTCTTCCCATCTGACTGCAAGGGTAGTGCTGAACCTGGCTACCAAAACCCAGCTACTGCTGTCTGCATAGGTGTTCCTTGATTCCACCATGCTGTAGCTCTCCTCTGGCAATACCAGGCTTAGGAAAACCTGCTGTTGACCTTTTTACTGGTGTCATGACAATCTGCTCCAGCACAATGATATTCTTGGAGGAAAATCAGAAATAAAAGCATTTTGAGTGGTGAGTTGGTTTCAGTTCTGTATGTAAAAGGTGCTTTGGCAATGGTGGGTGTGGGAAGCAAAGAAAATACCATTGACAAGGTCTTGATGGGATAAAGAAAAAAAGAAAAAAGCAGAGGCTGGTATTTATGCCACTTGAACTCTCAAAACAGGTTTTGCTTGCAGCTCGTTTGGGGGTGTGGTCATGCATCTCTTTTGTTAACAACAAGACTTTAAACAATTAATTCGTGTTGCTTAGGAAGCCCATGAATCTCTTGCTTAACCAAAGCTGAGGCTGAATCCTCATGGGAACTGAGAGATGTATGTTAGCAAGCCTTTGGTGATCTCAAAGATAATGTTCTCAGATATAATGGAGTTGGTGACTTGTACTGAATTATTGCTGGGACTGTGTGAGTTCTGGGTATCTCAATATAACTGTAATTTACTAAATGAAATATTTCAGTGATTACTAGAAACTAACAAAGCAATTGGCTCCTGCAAATGAATAATGAAGTAGAAGATTGACTACTTAGGTTGTGTAGAGGAGTGACTTCTAAACTTTTTCAGTGGATGATTTCCCACTTTGAGCATTGCTTCTCTCTGACCAGCAAAGCTCTTTGAGGAAGAAGTTGAAGCTTGGAAGTCTGCACAACGTAGAGTCAAAACAAACAAACCCAACAGGAGAACAAGTTCTGCCCCTCATCTTTTTGGAAAGCATACTGAGCTCTTATGTATTCGAGTAAAATGCAGCACTTTCCCCTCCACCCCCAACTTTCTCTTTTATTCTTTTCAGTTGAGATTCTTGCTTACAGTACCAGCTGGTTTTTAAGTCCACTGTTTTTAAGGTCATGCCAACACGGGCTATGAAATGTCATGTGAATTGTCAGGTAGCAGGCTGCTGGCTGCTTTTCTTTGGGCCGCTGATCCATCTATGATCATTGAAAATCAAGGGTGATTTTGTGTTCTGGAACTGTGATTGCTGAAGCATTTTAAGAAAGTTTGTTGCTATAGAAATGCCTGTTGTGTGCGTGGTGCTATATTATCACCTTTGAAATTGCAATCAGTGCCAAATTCAGTAAGCTGATGGCTTGTGGCCCCAGTAAAAGTGACCTTGGGCAGTTCTGCAAATGGGAAGTGATATGTTGCAAATGACGAAGATTACTGGTGAACAGGTTAACTCCTGCAATCCACTAACTGTCAAACGTAAGCTCTAGAGAAAGTAATACCTACAAAAGTAATGATAACATTATTTCCCAAAATAGAACATGGATACATAGTCCTTGGCTAATGTGTAACAGTGTTTTAGCTAGAGACTGAGGACTTTAATATTATAGAAATCTTGCTAGGTTCAAAGTTTCCTAGGTAAGAGAAGAATTTTTTTTGTAAGTTTTTACCTATTAAAAAAACCTTTTTTGGCAGCAGCATCACAGTAGAAAGCTATAATCTTGTGAAAGCCATCTGGTTTGAGGCCATCGTGCAGCCTAACCTATGGACAATTCCAGAAGAGGCATAATTGCAATACTTGGTGGTGTTTTCCAAAACTAAGGGCTGACTCCTTACAGCTATAGGTACTCCTTACTGCAGTACTGAACATACTGAGCTCTGCTGTTCTAAATTTACCAGGTTTGATAAGGAAGAGATAAACTTTAACTTTTGTTAACCTTGTCATGTTTTTTTCTTTATTTTAGTGATCATGAAAGGTGTGTGGTTGACAGCATTGCAGACAGAAGCTCAAGGCATCCACAGAACAGGTACAGTATACACAATTCCAGTAAAAAAATAATAAAATTCTTGTGTGTAAGCTTGGTGCATTTCAGTCCTGCCTTCCGTAGAGTAAATGAAAAATGCATGCTAGCTGGTAAAGAAAGAAGAAAACTTTACTAACAAAGTTCAGTGTGATTTGAAGCCATATTCCTTCTGCCATTTGGAAGAGTTCAGCATAGGAATCTTATGGATGAAGGAAAAGTTGATGTATTTTGTAGTAGGTAGGTGTGATAACTACACTTTTCCCTCAGTGCTCCTTGGGAGGAAGCCACCTAAAAAGACTGAGATGGTTTAGATTTACTTTTGCTCAGTACTGCAGAGGTGACCAAAGTCATTTAATCTACGCAGTGTTGTTTGTAATAATCTATACAGCTTGTGTGCTGTGGAGTTTTTAATATAGAATGCACAAATTATACATGTGAAATTGAAATGTGTTGTACTGCAAAGCTTGTAATTTAGTATGCGTGGATGGCCAGGCAACAGCAGCTGTAGTAACCCTAACTGAGTTTTTGAACAGCTGCAACTTGGCCACACTGCAAATATTAAAGCACAGATCTGTTAGTATGCAATAATGAAAGGCTGAGGGCAGAGAAATTCTCATCTAGCCACAGGAGTGGTAAAGGATCTTGAGCTATGGATTTCTTCCAGAATGTAGGCCATATGCAAAGTGCATGAAAGGTTGGTTGGAGAGGAATTGCTGTTAAGAAGATAAGTGGTTTCAGGGAGTAAGTATTTTTTTTTTTTAAATTAACAGAATGTTGTGACAGTCATAGTCAATATACACTAGCCAAAGTCTTCCATAAAAGACATTAATATCTTAAAAACAAACAAACATTAAAAAAAAAAAGCCCCAAACTCTTCTCTCAGAGCTTTTATTGCAGTCCTTTCAGTGTGAAGCTGTTAAATGGGCAATACTGCAGAAAAGGAAAAAGGAAGTGGTGAGAGATCTAAGACAGAAAGGGAAAAAGGAAAGCTCATTCATCTCTTCTCTCCTAGTCTGGTAGAGGCACAAATGAGGAACTTCTTGACATTTTAACCTCCACATTCATGTTAGTACGTGCATCATGGCTCAGCAAGGGAATGTTGGTGAGCTCCTCTCAATGCTGGATTCTCCAATTCTGGGTGTTCTGGAAGACATAACAGCTGCATTCAAAGATAATCTCATCTGTGGTATGTATCCTTATGGTGGTAGAATTTTACTTAGGCACGAGTAAATGTACAATAATGGTGTTTTTTCTTTTTTTTCTATCAAATACACTGTTTTGTGAATATGACTTGAAAGAAACTCTTAGTATTTGAAATTTAAATGGCTTTAAGGATCGAGTCTCCTCTTTGGTCTGTTTTGCTTAATGGCATGCCTCTCCAAAGGTTTGTTATATAATTGTTAAAATGCTGTTATGAAATGAATGGAGTTTCCTGGGGCATAACTTCAAGTTGCAAACTGATGAAACTTTCTTTGTGGATTGTATCTAAAAAGAATGAGGTGTTATGTACGTTATGGGAACTGGTGGAATTCCACTCACTGAAAACAAAAAACCCAACCCTGAAGAGAATGCTTTCTGTTACTAAGGCATCCCTTATGTTGATGGAGCCTTTTCAGAGAGTGAGAGCACTGTTAAAGCCCTTGTAGTAAAGGGAGTGAATATAGAATTGCTCCTGAACTCTTCCCCTACTGGGTAGAATACTCCTGCAGTTCAGCAACCTCCAGGTTTTTAAGGTTAGACAGTGCCACAGTCATTGCTATTAGAACAAACAAAAGAGCTTGATAGTTCATTTCCTACAGAGCTGAAAGCAGTTGCTCCATCAATTGTAGCTGAGAGGATCTTCTCTTAAAGGTCTGGTAACAGTTAAATACTAGTTTGTGTCATAAATTGTGCAATAGTTGTTACAAAGTTGAGCAACATTCCTGTAATAAATGCTTCATTTCTAGTGTATTGAGAATGTATGTTTTCTTTTTTTTCTTGTTAAGACCGTGGACCTATGCTTGTGAACAGCCTGGTAGACTATTACTTGGAAACCAATTCTCAGCAGGCACTGCATATACTGTCCACATTGCAGGAGCCTCATGACAAGGTAAAAAATAAAAGTAAAAAAAATTGCTATAATAACAAATGTTAGCCTCATAATTAAAGAAATCTTAATTAACATCTGCTAGAATTCAGCTTATACATTATCATATACAATTGTCTTGTAGAGATACAGTATCTCTGTAGTAAGAGCACTGTAGCGTTTTTTGTGGGTTTTTTTTTAAGTCTTCAAAAGACTCCATTCTAAGGATTGTTTAAACTGGCCAGGCTACTCTGAAATTTAAAACCTTGAGGAGTAATATCGTCTCTTGGAAGTGCTACTGCAGCTTGTTCAATGCTAGATTCCTTAGCCTAAAAAAAAAAAGGGTGTTTTGAGAGCAAGTAAATGTTCTTAGATTGAGTGGAAGGCACTGGAAATGTTTATTTTGCCTGACCAAATTATGTAGTATCATTTTGACCAAATTATATTATATCATTTTATATATGTATGTATGTATCATTATATCATTTTAATCTTTGGATCTGTTGTTAGATGCTGTGTATGTGTAAAGTCACCTTAGTTTCCATAACTAACAGTAGCAAACTGCTGAATATAGATTGGTGGATAAGAACATATATGAGTTCAGCATTTAATAAAAAAAAAAAACACAAAACTTTCCTTTTTCTGCCACTCTGCAAATCTTCCATCAGCACCTTCTGGACAAAATTAATGAATATATGGGCAAAGCTGCTACTCGTTTACCCACTCTCTCGCTGCTGGGACATGTGATAAGACGACAACCATCATGGAAACATAAGCTTTCTCAAGCACCTCTCCTACTCTCATTGCTTAAATGTCTCAAGGTAAGAACTGTCACTTTTGTCCACTGAAACACTTGTACACTTCAGGTAATCGTGCATACTTGCAATGCAAGGTATTTTTCTGCTTTGATGTCATTTAGTTAAGCTGTGAGAAGAGATGCTGATTAAAATATAGAGTTTAAAAAATTTCAACTGAATACTCTGTGCTGACCCTGTTGTTACTGACAGTCTTCTCTTTAAAGAAGGCACTGCAGAGCTTTGTGTTAGAAAAGTTCACCAAAACTCTTCTTTTGGTGTTATTTTTAACTGTGTCAGAGATTGAGAGCTAGTGGCAAAACTGACAGATACCTTGAATGTGAACTTAATAAGAAATAAAATAACTTTTCACTAGTGCATTCTGAAATGCATACCTCTAAGGCAATGTATTCCACTCTCCACGACATAGGTGAACCCAACAGTAGCAGAGCAACTGCTAAGGAAAACGTGCTGAATTGGGGGAGCAAGTAGGTACTGCACAGGGAAAGAGTTTGAATGTGTCCTGGTCATGCTTTAAAATTTGGTTCTTGATTGTATCTAGTTAAAGGTTTTTACTCCCACAGCCCTTTTTCTCAGTATAAGCCATAGAGTTCTGATAATTGTTTGAGTTGCTGCTTTTTGAAATATCTAGCAACTGGAGTCATCAACCAGGCATTATTTATGCTTGCATGCCATACAGCAATGCCACCCTCAGTTCTAAGTGTTTCAACAGTATTGAATTTTTTTTGTTGTTAAACATCTGAAACTGTGAGAAGCTAGCTTTTGATTTAGTGAAGATTTAAAAACACAATAATTTATATAATAATTTATCATGTGAATCACTTATCCTGCAAACTTACTGGGCACTGTCACAAGTAACGTGTTTGCAGGAATTCACATTTGGTAGAAAATCTTCTGACCTTTGTGTTGGTAGTTGGCCAACATCCTTGAATGCTGTGGTCAGGTTTGCCATTTCTTAGATGCTGGAGTGCATTGTGCTTGGCTCTGGGGAAGAAAAACAGGCAGTACATAAGATACTTCACATTCCAGTGATTTTTTTTTTTTTTCCTACCCAATTGATTGTAAATCAAGAATTGTACAAAAGAATTGTAGTGACGTTCCATTCTTAAGTGAAGGTGTTTTCAACAGAAAAGCAGCAGGCAAGTGACAGGTTAAGAATAAGAACTTAAAACATTTCTTAAATTTATTTTGGATGAAAGAGACAATAACCTTGGTCCATGAAGTTGTGGAATGTTTTGGAGAGATTGTTTCAATCTAGAGGACATTTTTCATGACGACGATGATTCCAGCATTCACTTCATCCTTGGAAAAAACCTCTAGTCAACTAATGCAAGTTTTTTCCCTTCTTGCAGACTGACACAGATGTAGTAGTACTCACCACAGGTGTCCTAGTGCTAATAACCATGTTGCCAATGATTCCTCAGTCTGGCAAACAGTACCTCCATGATTTCTTTGGTATCTTTGGGCGTCTCTCAGCCTGGTGCTTGCAGAATCCAGGTGAGATTTCAGTTTGGTTGCATGCAGTTGCAATGTAGCAGTATCCTTGAGATTCTTACACCCTTCCTTTTGTGAGATTCCTAATGGTTTCAGATTATTTAAATGCAGAAAACGTTGCAGCTCACAAGATATGCTGTTCTTTGACAGCATTGGGTTGTACATCTTTACTCAAAAATTAGAAGTCTTAGATTCTTTAGTGTGATGCTGCTATTAGTGAAGTGGCCAGAAAGGCTACACTGATGGCAGTGAAAAAGTAGGGGTTTATGTTAATTAATAGAGAAGGAAAAACTGCTAATATTTGAGGCAGATATTTAGGAATTTGAGATTCTGAGGTATGAATGGATAGGAGAGTGAAACAACATGCATGAGTTTATTTTAATATGCAACTATCAGTAGTATTGAAATGTCATCAAACCTAGTCATCTTAGTTACAACATTGGTTTTGCAGAAATCCTGAGTTATCTGAGATGTAACACTGTGGTTACATATGGATGTCTTAGGGCTGTGTGATCAAAGGCTGGGTTAAGCACACAAAAGTACTGTTCAGAGGGCCATTTCACACTGGCAGTTAAGATTGGAATTTATAGGAGGAAAGATGGCTGCTAAGAGTCGAGTCAGATTGCTTTGTGTAGAGACAACCTTTCAGTTTTTACTTTTGAAGTGAAGCATACCTTGTCTTTTTTTAATCATTTGGTCAATCTTGCAAGCTGTCTTACTATCTAGAGTGTTTCAACCTTTAAATTTGGATAGAAGGGACAAATTCCAACCAGCATCCTTTAATTCTTAATAATCTATATCTATCGTGTTAGCTGTGATTGGATGAGTATTTGCTTGTTCACTCTGAAGACTTCACAGCTTTGCTAGGGGATGTTCATAACTCTGAGGACTTTTTCCAGTTAGCATTTCAAATTTAAAAGCACTTTGCTTGCCTTCTTGAAGTGGTGTTCTTTACTCCAGTGTACTGAAAAAATAAAATCTTACTACTTGTTCCAGGTCACGTGGCAGAGATTTATCTTGTCCATCTTCATGCCAGTGTTTATGCTCTCTTTCATCGGCTTTATGGAATGTATCCTTGCAATTTTGTCTCCTTTCTGCGTTCTCACTACAGTATGAAGGAAAACTTGGAGACCTTTGAAGAGGTAGTCAAGGTAAAAAATGCAGATCATCTCTACATTATCTGAGACAAGGAATTGATAGCTGTTCAAAGGCAGTTATGTGCCACATTAGTACACTGTTTTATTTAACTGAGTGCTACTCAACAAAAATGTATAAAGACAGGGTACTAAAGGGATGAAAGCTCATTTGGGAACAGGATCATCTCTTGGATCTGGCAATGTGTGTAAGCTTTGAACATCTGTTAAATGCAAAAATCCCATTGATTTTTATGATCAGGTGTTAGCTCTCAGCTTTGTGTAGTTTAGAGAAATCAGAAAAAATGTTTTAATTAAAATCTGTATTTTTTTTGCTCTTGCTCATTCAGCCAATGATGGAACATGTGCGAATTCATCCAGAATTAGTGACTGGATCTAAGGACCATGAACTGGACCCACGAAGGTACATATGTTCTCTCTGCTACTAGGAAAGACTGCAAACTAGCAGTTTTTACTTGACTTATTTCTGAAGGCTTACAGCAAAACCTTTTCTCTTGACAACAGTGTGTGCCAGTGGTGTTTTGCCATCCATTTTTCCTAAGTCCACCAGGTAAATGTAAAATTTCTTCATCCAGGCTCACAGCTGGATGAATAAGCAGCCTTTTGTCATGAAGGGCCATTAACAGCAATGTTGGGGTTCTGTGTTCATTTTGTTTCTGGGATAGAATCTGTCTCTTACCCAACTGTTGACTTTGTCTTAATTTTATGGCTTTATAGTCAAACATTCTCAAAGTTCTAAGAAAAAAAATCCCTTATAATAGGAAGGAAACAATGGCGTAAGTTTTGGGTTGTGTTTTTTGGTCTGTTGAAGTACTTGGTGGGATTTGCCTGTTTGAAATAGCTTTGGTGTGTCTTTGTTTTGGTACCTAGACATTGGTTCCATTAACAGATCAGTTCTTTTAACAGGTATGTCTTAACATCAGCTGTATTAGTTTTCTTTAGAAATAGGCTCATTTGCCTGCAGCAGCACCACTTGCTGCTTTTCTCTTGTCTCCACAGGCCCAGCCAATGAAGAGGAGAAATTGACTCTTGTTGCTGCACAGTAGTGCTCTTGCCCTGCTTTTCAGAGCCACTAGGAAAACACTGCTAAATGGGAACCTATTGAATATCACAGTGCTCAGTTTTGCAGGCTTCTCTCAGACAGGGAGGAGGGGGATGGAGAGAGGGTGGCACCACTGAGGAATTCAGTTGGCACAAAACTACAATTTGAAGCCTTCTGATTTGGTATCTTTCACATGTCTTTATATTCAAAAGTAACTCAGCCTTTAATAGACATCCTAGTAGACAGCCTTCTGTGCTTTCTCTTCTTTACAGTGAACTTCCATCCCCTGAAATATTGGGCAGATCTAATGTGGCTGCTAAATTTAGTGAGAAAAGATTTCCAAGTGAAGGTGGTAGTAATAATAAAGGACGTTCCCAAAACTTAGGAGTCAAAACACAGACCTGAAACTGGCATTGCAGGTGGCAGTTGCTTAAATAATATGGTTCCCTGACTGCTGGCATTTCTAAATTTTGGCAACCGACATCTGAGTCTAAATGAGCTGATTTCTACAGCTGCTGAAGCTCAGGATCAACCGAATCTTCATATGCTATTCCTCCTTTCCAGAGTGCTCCATGGCAGACCTTTATGGATCTCTATATCAAAGCTGTTTGTCTCCTATCTGAGACCCCCTTTCACAAGTCATCTGGTTGCAATTTCTGTATGGTGCCTTGTTCTGCATTTGGGAGCATACAAGGCTGTTTGGATCAAATGAGCCATCCTACAAGCCAATTCCTGAAATCTCCAGGAACCTTTGTTCGTAGCAATAATTGACTAACTTACTCTTTTGGATCCAAAAACTGTCTGCAGGTGGAAAAGACTAGAAACTCATGATGTTGTGATAGAATGTGCCAAAATCTCCCTGGACCCTGCAGAAGCCTCATATGAAGATGGCTATTACTCTGCGTCTCGGAAATCCTGTACAAACTTAAAACATCATCAAACTGACCCCAGTGCCAGCCATTACATTGACACACAGAGCAGCTATGGTAAGATCTGCCTGATGTCTAATGAATACCCATTTCCAGGAAGAAAATGGCCCCGATAGCAAAAGGGCATCTTAACTAATTTATCTCACTTGAAGTCCAATTCTTAAGCACTGGAAAACAAACTTTCATTTAACATATGTATATAATGTTATATACATGTATGTTTATTTATATATGCATGCATGTCTGGTCATGCAGAAGTACAGAACTTTGACAAAGTTACCTTCCCCTACTTCTAAAACACCAAACCAAACAAAAGCTGTAGTATATAATATGTTCAAAACATATTTTCTTAGGTTGGAATAGAATTTTCTTGTTTGCCAGCTATGACTGTATATGTTTAATGGACTTAAATTTTTTTAAATAAAACGTTTCAATATTAGCCATAAGAATAATTGTTTTGTATTTGGTATGTAGGGTACTTTATTTATCTTTTTAAATTTTCAGGGACATCTACCCCATATTCCACTCCTCGGCTAACACTATCACAACTGCCAGGGCAGCTACCTCAGATTCTGAGCCCGCAGTCAATAAAGCTGTCAACTGAGCCACAGCAGGTAAAGCAGAGGATCACATGCAGTGTGTATTCAGTGCTTTGCACTTTGCATGTACCTTCTTGTGACAGTCTTAAAAAAAATCATGATTTTGAGAAGTAGTGTGAATTGGTCAGAGCTTTGCATATGTTTCAGATTTTATTCCCATCTTGGTTGCTGTGTCAGAATCTGGATATGTTCCTTTTATGAGCTTTGCTGACCTATGTTTATTGTGTATTACTTTTGCATAGGTTACCATCTGGAGTCCTTCTGCAGTTTGTGGCATGACCACTCCACCAACTTCCCCTGGAATTGTCCCATCAGAGTCATCCCAGTCAGCATCACAACCTTACAGCAAAGCTTTTGGCACATCTGGTACGTGCTGTGTTTTTGAATTAGGCCCTGAGGATTTACTAAAATAGAATCTCTCACTATAAATTTTGCTGTCTGCTTCATAAATTGGAACTGCAGCACTTTGCTATTTGATAAGCTTGAGCCATTAATTCTGTAAACAGAGTACCAGGTCATCCAGAGTAGTACTAGTGCAAATACTGAGAGAGGAAATAAATTCCAGTGAATTGAGTGCCCAGGTCTGAAATAGGTCCATTGGAAATTCTGCGCTTTTATCTGAATTGCTGAATAGTTGAGAGAGATCTAAAAAGTGTTTGAGATACTGTTTAAACACACAATTCTTCACGTACAATGTTCAGCTGAAATGAGGAAACGGGAACCTGACTGAGAAAAGTTTTGCTCCCACTTTTCAGCAGTGGGGAAGGGAACACCTTTGGGGACACCAGCCACATCTCCTCCACCCTGCACTTCAGATGACTTTGTGCATGTCTCACTTCCTTCAGCTGCTGCCACACCTCCTAAAAAGGTACAATGAAATTCTTCTGCCAAATGAATACAATTTGTCATTGACTGATCATACATGCAATGACCGTAAATGAGAGAGAAAATCAGAGTAACAGATTTAGTGTTATATTTCATTGCAGAATCCCAATTTCTAAGGTTAGAAAATTTTTGTCATTTCCAATTACATATTTTTGTGTAATGGTTTTACACAGAACTGTTGTGTTGCTTTGCTATTTAAGGTATCTATCTGCAGGAATTTCCTTTCTATGAAACTATCCAAGAGATTTGTTTCCCACAGATATCTGATGCAAGGAATCTGTATGCCTTTTTTGTGTTTCTTTTCTAACAGGAGGACAAACCAGATTCTGGGAGGCCTTCACTGTACCGACAGCAAAATGTCATAAGCAGCGATAAATCTTTGGGTAAACTCCAGTTTCCTCTCCCCATTTTCCATAACCTATGTTAGACAAATCATGGTTTTGTTGACACATTCCAACTGCCAAACACTTTTCCACAGGTTTTTCTCTTTTTCTCTCCCCTGAATTCTTCATAGTTCCAGGATCCTGCCTTAACCTGTGATTCAGCCTAAAACCTTCCTGTGATGCTTTTGATTCAATTTTAACTATTCACCTTCAGAAATAGGTTGCAGATATTTTTTTTAACTAGCCCTCTTGCATTCTTACACACACCTAAATATGAATATCAGCACTGAAAACTGGAAAAGGATTAAAAAAAAGCTGATGCTTTGAGGGTGATTTTTTTTTTTTTAGAAGCAACAAATTTGAAGCTTTTACTTGAATAACTTTTATGTCGTGTGCAGCCTTACAATTTGATCCAGACTTAAGGATAGATGCTTCTTTTTAAAGGCTTTTGAAAAAATTTTGTTTGCTATCTACAATTGTAGTGCTGTACTTGAACCTTTTTTTTAAAGTCCTGTGGAATGTTGAAAGCAACAGTGGATGGTTGAGGAACTCAACTTCTAATAGGTAAATCTAGATTTCCTTTTCCATTCTCTATCATCTACATCTGTGACGGCTATAAAAAGGGATTTTGACTCTGTATTTGAGACTTCTATACTGTGCTTCTGTACTGTCCTCAGGGTGGAGATGGTAATGAAAGTTAAGTTTATTTTCCTGGTGAGGTTGTAACAGCAACCCTGAAATCTGAACTTCCTGAACTACAAGTGAAGACTGTGCTAGATTCTTCACTTGGTTCATAATCTGTGACTGAGCTTTGAGCATGAGGTTTCTATCCTGCACAGTTTGTGTGTGTATTCCTGGCAGCTATCTCAGAGTCTTGATCAGTAGTGTAATACATCAGTTTACTGTACCTCCTTCTCAGGGAGTAAGTACTGTGTTTCTGAGTAGCCAGATCAGAAGCTAAGAGGGAATTTAAAGCTAATGTGGAAGTGTAACAGTCACACTGCGTTTTGGCTGCTTTTCTAACTTACGTAATGGTAACTGAACAGTTGAATCCTTCTTGGTAGAAGAGGCCACCTGCAATAATAGGTGTTAAGTTTACAAAATGAAATTTCTGGATCAGGAGAAATGTGTGACTCGTCTCTGAACTGGTTTCCACAAGAAGAGATGCTTCCTTAAGAAAGGGATGCATTTAATCTAAGGTCCTTACAGAAGTAAGAGGCTCCTGTTTTTTGCTCTGATGAGACTAGACAAGACAACTGTACAATCTGTACAACTAACTTCTCTTTTCTTTTTTTTCAGACACATCTGGTAGTAAAAGTTCAGTAACCTTAAGTGATCTTCCAGAGTTTTTAGGAGGTTTGTCTTTTGAAGATAGTGCTGAAAAGGACAGAGAAGAAGGTAACTTCTGTCATCCTTGTATACATCTTAGCCAAGGAAGTATATTTAATAGAAATATAAGATTCATGGCTTGTTTAAAGCATCTTGTCCTGTATCAGTGTTGTTCACCATGCTCTCTACAGTAGATTTCATATGGTTAAAGCACTTCTTTTCAAATACAGCTGTTGCTTATAAATAGTGAAAACAGTAAAATTTGCAAAGTTAATCTTCAGAAGGTTACTGAAGTGAGTATGATTTTGATGTAAAAAGTAAACTCTCTAGAAGGTATTTTGGCTGCTGTAAATCTGTGTTGCCTTCAAAGCAAGTTGTTGGGGGTTTTTTGTTTAAGGCAAATTTTTTATTGCCCATTTTAATTCTAGGATTTAAGTTTTTGAGGAAAAGTTGACCAATTTAAAAGCTAGAGCTGCTTGAAACAGAAGCAAATCACTCTTCTACCTCAAAACCATGAGTTAGCTTGCACTTTTCAGTTCTGAAGCATGGTCTGGTTCTAATTTTACATTAGGACACCTTGCAGGATTTTTTCCCTGGTTATAATGAGAAGTTCAAGCATGGATGAGGTAAATGGATGCCTCAGGTGCTTTGAGAACTGGTTAGGATGCAGCACAGGAGCAGCAATAAGTATGCTGTACAGAAACAAAGCATACTAAGCTGACCTGGCAAATAACTGTGCTCCCTCCTCCAATCCTTTTCAGATGCAATATCTAAGGAGATCTCCGAGATCACAACTGATGCTGAACACATGGTGCCTAGAGGAGGATTTGACTCTCCATTTTACCACACAAATGAAAATCTGTCAGGTTCTCAGAAGAAGACCCACTCAGTAGTCTCTAGTGTTCAGGGACACAGTCTGACCTCTGAGCCTTTAATATCTTCTCTGGACAAGCCTGGGCCTGAGAGTGTGCTGGAGACACCCAAACAAACATTTACTCCCATAGACAAGCCCTGCGGAGGCTCTGGTGAAAGCCCTGCTGGTAACAGGGAAGGAACCTCTGGGGAGACAAGTATTCTCACTCCCAGCCCTTGCAAAGCATCAGCACAAGGAAGAGCAGTGTTTGGGAGTGGACAGCCTCCCCTATATGAGCACCTTTTTGAGGTTGCATTACCAAAGACTGCCTACCTCTTTGTTGGCAAGAAGACTGAGGAGCTGCTAAAGAAAGCCAAGGGAACCCAGGATAAAGACTGTATGTCCTCTACTTCTCCTGTGGAAGTACTGGATAGACTGATACAGCAAGGGGCAGATGCACACACTAAGGAACTGAACAAGTAGGTGACTGAAAGTCTTACTCATGCAACTTTTTTGTTCTGGCTTTATTTTAATACTTCTGCCTGGAAAGCACATGTGCTAGGAAACCTGAATGAAAGCATATTCTGTGAAGTGTTACTGTTAACTGTGTTAGATTCTCTACCCAGCAATCCTTTATAGTAACAACTAGTTTAATATTTTTTAAAAAGTGAGGGGCGAGAGGTGTGGTGGGGAGGTCTGTTAGAGCTCTTTATACCTTCAGTAACAGAGTTTGGGATGAAGAAGCAGGGCAGCTGCGTGTCTTACAGACCACTGTTGTACATACTTTCTTCTTTCTAATAGAATGACACTAAGAACTGAAGAATCAGATTTAAGGGCTAGATAGATGCATCTACTGCATTCCTTCTTTTCATCTCGTTACTCTGTATTCTACTTTGTCCTTATGCTGTTTTCTATGCCTGAGAGAATTATTCTTGCTGAGTTCCAAGAAATAATATGGCCTCTTTCACCATCTGCCCTTGCAACCTGCTTCTTGCACAACTCCTCTTTATTCTCCCCATATAAATTGATCATCATCGTGCTTAATTATTAAGCTGTAAGCTCGTTTGAGGTGGGGATTCCATTTTGAAGTGATTTTCTTAATGTTTGCATATTTAAACTTACTGGTTAATGCTGCGTTTTCATTTTTCAGATTGTCTCTGCCAAGCAAATCTGCTGACTGGACTCACTTTGGAGGTGATGATGTTTCTTATGTTTTGGCAATCTGTTCCTTTATTATTAGACTTGTTTAAACAATGACCTGCTACTGTCTTGGGTGTGTGTGTGTGTTCATCTCTGTCTTGTAACTCCAACCCAGGTTCTCCCCCTTCAGATGAGATTCACACCCTGCGTAACCAATTGCTATTGCTGCACAACCAGTTGCTGTACGAACGCTTCAAAAGACAGCAGCATGCCCTTCGCAACCGGCGGCTCTTGAGAAAAGTGATTAAAGCCACAGCATTGGAGGAGCACAACGCTGCCATGGTGAGGAGGGGTACAAATCTAGCAATGATTTAAATGCACTAGAGCTGAGAACAGGAGTTAATTGGCACCTCTCTGTACCGCTGAGTTAAAGAAGCCTAGTAGCTCAGCATGCTCAAGTCGGTGTTTGTGGAATGGCACATGAATGAGTTGTATGTGCTGTGATTATTTCTGTTAACTGTAAGTGACTGAATCAGTGGATGACTGCATGCTTTACAGTTACCTTTGTTAAAGGCTTCACAGTTAGCGTAGTGGTTACTTGATGCTCCTCAGTTAAAGAGTGGAAAAATAAAAACCAGCTGAAAAACTCAGATGTTCTTTGAGTTATTTACTGTGATGAAATTCCAAGTTGTAAGTGCACTGAAGAATGTTTAATTCTGTACCTCTGTATTGTGGCTATTCCATTTACAATTTCACTTCTCAGTAAATAATTTAAGACTGAAAAAAGAGCTTTCCAAATTAGTTTTGGAAAATATAGTGTAGCTTCAGCTCTGAAGTCTAAGTCCCTGTCAAGAGCATGACAGGGAGAAACATGCTATTGCTCACTGTGCCTTTAGATGCGACTTTGAGTTATCAGCCAGTCCCCTCTAGCACCATTTAGTCTCTCTTTAAGTTGAAGAAACCCCCACAAAACCATACATTACACAGAATGTTCAATGTATGGAGAAGTGTTCAGCCTGCATGCTGTTAACTGATGTTATTGCTTTACTTAGCTACTGACATTGAATAGTTATTCGAACTAATAAATCAGATGTCTTATCTAATGCTTTGTATGGGGTTCTTAACAGAAAGATCAGCTGAAATTACAGGAAAAAGAAATCCAGGCCTTGAAACTGAGTCTGCAGAAGGAACAGGCCAGGTACCATCAGTTTCAGGAGGAGCATGAAAGTATAGTGGCTCAGCTTCACAGCCAGATCAGACAGCTGCAACATGATCGTGAGGAATTCTACAACCAGAGCCAGGAATTGCAGGTATGAAGCAGAACACTGAACAATATTGTGTTATCTCCTTACTGTGGTTTTAAAAATAACTTTTCCAATGACAAGGCATGAAATACCTAAGAGAAATTTACTGTCGTCTTTGGATGTATTGTCCTAATTCAGAATAAGACAAAGCTTAGTTGGAAATGCCTGGTTAAACAGTCATTGTCCATTTGTAGCTCTGTTTTATTCTGTCTTCTATTTGGAAATAGGAAAATGCAGTTTCTTAGCTGGTGTGTTGGGACTTTCACAAGTGCTTTACATAACTTGACTTACAGCCTTGGTGGTTCTGGCCTTCCAGCCATGTGGCACTGCTGGTCCTTGCTGAAGTTCCAGAACCCTGAGTGAGTTCTTTTTGTTTGAACAGACCAAGCTGGAAGACTGCAGGAATATGATTGCAGATCTGAGGTTAGAATTGAAAAAGGCTAACAACAAAGTCTGTCACACAGAACTGCTGCTTAGCCAAGTTTCTCAAAAGGTAAGAAATCACAGATTCCAGGGTCCCTTTGTCTTTCTTTTTTTTTTTTTCTTTTACTTTTGATGATTGCAATTGAGTGCTTTTTCTTTCTTGTCCTGAAAGCCTAGATCCATAGAATCTGATATTCATTGCATAAAAACAACACAAGTATATTGTGGTGATGAAATTCTAAACAGTTACAGACTCTTGAAACTTCTCATTTTGGCTGCTCTTCATGCAGTAGGAATTCACAGACTGAGCAACATAAACTTGTATTAAAGCTCTGCTAAATCTGAGCATTAGAGAGATCTTGTTAAGTTAAATGGGCTTTTCATCTAAGTGGAAACGTGGTTGAAGGAAACAATGCCATTGTGGTGAGAGCCTGTATGAATTGTCACTGGCTTTATGAAAATTCATTTCTTTAGCACCTATGACCTTTGTCTTTTTTAATAAAAATACCTTGTGAGCAATGCTGGTCAACTGTGGCTCCTGCTGAAATGTTAAATCCAGTGTTTAATTCTGTTTAATTTCTCTTTAAAAAGCTTTCGAACAGTGAGTCAGTGCAACAGCAGATGGAGTTCTTGAACAGACAACTTCTGGTTCTTGGAGAGGTCAATGAGTTGTACCTGGAGCAGCTGCAGCACAAGCACACAGACACTACAAAGGTACAGTTGCAGACAGTGCCTTCTGGGAAGACTTGGCTCACAGTCATCATCAAGCTGAAATAGCTTGATGTCAGAATAAAAGAAATGATTCAGAACTTAACATGTTTTGTTGGCCTTCTGTTCAGATATTTTTATCCACTGTGTGGTTATGAAATCTCTTCAGCATGCTGTTCTTGAAAGCTAAGAATGGTGTGTTAGCATACACTTGAAGTCAGTTTTACCCACTTCATATGAATCCTTATTAATTTCTTGATGCCACTGCTGTAAGTCCCAAACCTTTCTGTGCTCCTGCTGTAATTGGTAGCAGACTGTTGGAGATAAAGTAACACTGGGCTCTTATGTTTGTCGAAGTGTATCATGTAGAATAGTATTGCATTTGCAGGAGGATCTTAACCAGGATTTAACTAGTTAGTGTAATATGCTGTTCTAAAACAAGCAGTCTTACTGTTCTCCCTAAGTTGCTTTCTTCGTAGGAGTGCTAACTTTACTCAAACACCTGTGGTTCATGTGGTTTTACTTCTTGACTTCAAATAAACCTTTTTCTAATTAGAAGCAAGCAGCTTGCCCAACAATAGAACAGTTTCTGCATGACAGCGAGTAATTGAAGAAGGTGAATAAGCCAAAAAAAGAACTAATTTTCATGTTTTTAGTGAAAGTCATGTTAAAAAGATTGTTTTAAAATTGAAGTTGCCTAATCTGCAGAGCTGACAAGTTTGCTTTGCTAAAAAGTTTTTTATAAAGAACAGCAATGTGCTCATAAATTCCAGTGATGTAGAATTGCTTTCTCAGTGACTGTGTGTACGTCCTCTCACTATCTGGCTTTCCATATCAACTTCTAGAAATGCATCTTTTATTTTATCCTCCTTAAGTTGTGCTTATTTATAGTGTCAGAAACATGTCTAAATAAAAATAACACACAATCAAATTACACTTAACATTGTGTTCTTTCCTTTGAGGAGGTTGAAATGTTGCATGCTGCTTTTCGAAAGGAACTGGAGAAAGCAAAACTGTGTGTTCAGCAGCAAAGCCAAAGGCTCGATGCTTCTCAGAAACGGATAGCTGAACTGGAATCTCAGCTTTCTAAAAAGGACCACCTCTTCTTGGAGCAAAAGAAATACCTGGAGGATGTCAAAATCAAAGCAAGGTAGAGATTTCTAATTAAAAAAAAAATATTGTGAGTGCACTGAAGATGCAGTGTTATATTTCAGGCAGAATTTGGAGATACTGGTCCTAATGGGTTTTGATTTCTCTTTCCATTCAGAGGTCAGTTGCAAGCAGTAGAAAGTAGATACAGGGCCCAGAAAAGAATCACCCAGGCGTTTGAGCTGGAGATCTTGAACCTGTTTGGCCGACTGGAGAACAGCCCACTGAAAAAACTTGAAGATGAAAAAACAGAAGCAGCTGAAGCAGCAGAAGAAAGGTGAGGATGATGCAAAATGTGTTAGATTCACAACCAGCTCTTGGGGATTTTGTATCATTAGGGAATTCCTAGCACTTGGATGTATCATTTCAAGGTATTTCTGTTACTCCCCCTTTTACAGAAGTTGCTGTACATAAGTGTAAAACAGTTGGGTATTGTTTTCCCTCAGATCATACTTACTTGTTCTACACCAGTCTTCTATAGCATGAGGATAATTTTTTGCACTGCGTGCAGATTTGCAGCAAAGACTTGTTCTTGGGTTGCAAATCTTTCACCTATCCCAAGGACAGTGCATAGCTTCCTCCATTTTCCTGTCCTGATCCATCAAGGATACAGTTCCATTTTGCTTTAGGATTATTGTAAGTTGTTCCCTTCCTGTTTACTCACTGTCAGTTCTGCTTCACTACGAAACTGCAAAAGGAAACCAGATGTAGGCCTCCTGAAGTGTACATGCAGTTCTAGAATTAGAAAGTAATGAAACTCACCTCCATTCCTATTTTAACAGTTACCATTTCCTTGATGCTGTATCCTCTCTTGTTCCAAAACAGGCTGGATTGTGGTAACGAAGGTTGTGCAGATACTGTGGCAGGATACAGTGAAGAAACCATTGATAGAAATGGAGAAACCAAACCTCCCAGCACTCGAGGTAGCAGTAGCAGTAAAGGTGGCAGCAACAGTGAGCTCTCCACCCCAGAAAAAAAACAGAACCAGAGATTCAGCAGTCGCTGGGAGACCTCCATGTTGCGGGAGCCCTCCACTACTGTCCCACTGACTGTAGGTTCACTCCCCAGCTCCAAGAGCTTCCTTGGTATGAAGTCACGAGAGTTGTTTCGCAACAAGAGTGAGAGCCAATGTGATGAGCATGGTGTAACCATCAACAGCCTTTCTGATACTCTAAAGACTGAACTATGTAAAGATCCAAGCATGGAGACGAAGGCTCCTCCAAGCCCCGATAACCTTAGCCTCTCACCTAAGATCCAGGAAAGCAGTGTTGGACAGCTTCATATCATGGACTACAATGAAACTCATCATGACCACAGTTAAAAAGGAAGATAGTCAATCAGTGTTATTTTCATATTCTTGGCATAGAACAGGAGGCGTGAATGCAAGTTTAACTAAAAGCTTTTATGTTTCTTTGGTCTGAGCAGCTAGCTCATGCAGTGGAATAGGATTGATGTCCAGTAACAGAAGAAGGCTGCTGAATGAATGCAAGGTGGATTTTTGGGTCTGCAGTTGAAATGCCCAGCCTAACTCTTGCTTCTTTTTCAAATTCAGTCCTTAGCAGCGTGTACTAATTTGAAGGGACAACTGTTAGCATTTACAGATATTTTTTTCCCTTTCTCCCTGTCCGCAGTGAGTGGCTGCGTTTATGAACTTGAGTGCAATATGAGGCCAAATTAACGTTTGTGAGTCTACTATGAATGCTTTGTATTTCCTTGCAAGCTTCCAATTTAGAGCAGTTAATTGTGCTGCCTGTCTGGGTGATTCTGATTGTTTTCATCACGGAAAGGAGCAACACTAGAATTTCTGGTGTGTTCATCTAAGGGTCTCTATTTTGCCTGTCTGCTGCCCCACCTTTCTCAGAGCCCAATCTTTAAGTTGGACTCCAGCTGAGTACTTAAATGTTTAAGGAATGGTGTACCTCTGCAAAATGATTCATTCACCCTAATTCATAATCACTGTTTATATTGTCCTTAACATTTCTTGGAAAGTTTCTTTTGAACAGACACTTAACAAGGAACTGGAGCTTGTAATGCAGAGACCATATGTGAAGACTTGTTAAAACACTAGCTTCTGATTGTATTGGAATTGTGTTTGTTTGACAGACTGGTACTGACCTCAGATTGGTTCATAGGGGAAAGCAATTAGGGTGGGAGAAGAGGGGAAAAGGAAGCCTTAGTCACATAAGGAGAGCATGCAGAACGTGTATGTAGAATGAAGATTTGCAGCTCACAAAGAGCATTTCTTTCTCTAATCAGGGAAATACTTGTCCTGCCTGGACTCCTTCATGGTTTTTGTTCCTGATCTGAGCAAGATCACTGTGTTCTGATGTCAAGAAATCGGCTTCTACCTGGGAGTTTGTTTTGAGGCTTGATTTGCAGAAAACAGTTTCCTTTGAGTGCTGCTCTGTACCACCTGCAGCACGTTTTTCAGCTCAGCAATGTCAGTTTGGCACTAGACATATCCCCTTCATCCCCATTTCCTTAGGAGATGAGACTGAAGAAGCAGCTTGCTCGATCAAACTGAGAATCTGATTGTGAAGCCTTTCTATGTTAATCATGTTTAAGCCTTCATTGAAAGAGGATTGCAGGGTCAGGGCTTGTCAGTGGTCTGACTCAATCTCCTTTGTGACAGAGCAGAGCCTGTGGTTAGGAAGGCAGTGTGCTTGTTTCAAACCGTAGGTGTGTCTGGGTCCAAGCATACGTGGCCATATTGGGCTTCACAGGTACCCACGCTGCACATGGCCTCTTCTCAAACATTCTGTGGGTGGCAGCTGCTGGTCAAGAATTGTCTCAAGTATTAAATGAAGGCCACATGAAATCAGTTCCCATCCTAACCTGAGGAGGAGCAGGAGTCTGCTGGAAGAGCTGGCAGTCTGATAACTTGTGTCAGACGCTGCTTTTCCTGCTGTTTTGTCCATAACACCTTGGGTTGAAATACATTTCTGCCTGTCTGCGTTACTCTGTGTCCTTTTGGTTGGTCAGTCCTAACTCTGAAAGTAAAGGTGAACTTAAGTGGTTTTGTCAAAGCTTGAATCTGCATGGAATAGAAAATAGAGAGTTGGTTGTAAGTGACAGACTGGTTTTGTCGACATGTCTATAGGCTTTCTAAGACTTAGTGGTAGCAAACGTGGTAGCGTATGTTTTGGTAAGGTTTGGAGGTTTCCTGCCTCTCATCCCACCTGGTCCCGGCATGGGGAGTGGAGCAGTTTGCACATTGCCCAGCAGGCAGCTCTGCTCGTGGAGCTGGAGGTGTTGCAGGGCTTCCTTGGAGCACCCTGCTGTGCTGAGCCCCAGAGGAGAACCCTGCTGGTGTGGTGGCCTCGCTCGTTCAGAGGAGAGGCAGCTTTTGTTGTCGGTGACAAACATGCCCTGGTGGTAATGCAAGCTCATTGAGGTGGCTTTTTTCTTCTTTTAAAAAGGACTTTAGCACCAGGATAGTAATAGAAACCACTTTCGGTTTGTTTATGGACCACAACGATTACGGAGGAACAAATTTTGCAGTTTTTTTTTTTGTAAAAGTTTAAAAATCATGGATCTGCTGTATGTAGTTAACTTGCAGTTTGTTTGAAGGGGTCCCATCAGTGAAGTGGAAACAGATATTTTTTTTTTTCTAACTGACTGCTTTTAGTTAAATCTAAAATTGCTGTCTTTGTCAAGTTAATCTGTTCCCTGCCTCGCTCTTTGTAAGCATGTTAAACAATCCACATTAAATGCCATAAATATGAAATATGAGGAAATGGTACAATCCTAAGCTAAAGAGAACTTAAACCAAAAGGAGGTTTTGCTGTCCTTATTAGAATGTTCTAAAATGTCAAGGCAGTTGCTTGTGTTTAACTGTGAACAAATAAAATGTATTGTTTTGCACTACTAAGTGTTAAATTCCCTGCAAGCCGATCTGTTTGGGACCAAGCTGTACTGAGGCAGAACGTGCAGAAACCAACTGAAGCATCCTCCAAGATCTGCGAGCAGAACAGCATTGAGCAGATAAGTGGCTCTGCCCCTTTTTTCCATGGTGTTCATTTGTTAGAATTTGAACAGCATGCATGATGGCGTGGCACAAGTCAATGTGCAGCTGTCTGTGAAAACACATTGGATGAATGGGAGAATGTTGTATAACCCTAAGCCTCATTCTAGATATTGGGTGATGGGCAAAGCTGGTTTTGGTCCTCCTGCATTGCATAAGAAAGCAGAAAGTTCATCTGAGCTCGTTTTGAATCCCTTTTGCACAACCCTTAAGAAGTGTGCTGCTGGAAAGCTGAATGTGCCAACGTAAGAATTGCAGGTGTTACCCACAGAACTGTGGTCCCAAGATACAGCAAGAAGAAACAAAAGCTACCATGTAATAGCTTGGTAGTTTGTAAACCTGGCTGCAAACAGTAAATACGCAATAGGCACCAGGGAAGGAAAATCACTAACTTTATTTCATGTCTTTTAAGCACTTTTGCTGGTTGATCTTGATTTATTTCTTCTACTTCGCTACCAGTGCAATAGGCTGGAGTTTGAAAGTTACAGAGCTGGTTACAGAGCTTTCTGGGTGAAGCATTCAGAGCCCCATATCTCAGCATTTGGGGCTGTAGGGCTGGACACTTAACTTGCACACTTACAAAAGTCAGAGGTGAGCCTTACCCCAAGGCAGTGATAGGTGCTGGGATCTCCCTAAGCTCTGCTGCCCTGCAGCCCTCAGCGTCTGAAAGAAACGCAGCGTTTATTTTCTTGGCGTACATCAGCTCAGTGCCAGCAGTCTCTTGAGATTTCATGCTCTCAGAGGCTAAAGTAAAACTTTATGGCACTTCTGTGCTTGGCATTTACATCCTGTTTATGTAAATGCCTCAAACAGCTTGATTTGTAAGAGAGAAAAACAATTCTTGCTGTATCTTTTTCTCTTTTGAAGTGTCCATCCACTCTGGAAGAGGAGAACTTGTATGGAAATTAAGTAATTTGTCTCTCTGTTTTTGTGAGGTTTAACTTTGTGTCTTTCCAACAGATCCTGGTCGTGTCATTACCAAACCCCAGACTGCAGTTTTATGTGCTCATTTTCCTGCTTGTGTCTTCAGATTTTGCTTAAGACTGATTGAAAGGATAAGGCCAGGTTAGAAACGACTGCTAAGGTCTGTGAATTGTGTTTCTTGTGTGTGTCAGACCTCTGTCAAGCACGAGTGCTAACAGCGGGGCTGGAGAGGCAGCAGCTCTGGTGGCACTGCTCTGACATGCAGTTTGTGCTGTCGTGCTCTGTGGGAACTGAAAGGAGCTCTGGAGTGGAGGATAATTGCAGTCTGATCAGAGCCTGCATATTCAAACTGAAATGTCTTGGCAGCTGGCACTGGGACAGCCAGAAAAGAGAGCTGGGAATTGTATCCCTGGCGTCCCAACACTTGTCGCCCTGTAGTCAACATAGCTGTGCTGGGTTTGGAAAACTTTCCAGGCCAGCAACTGTTATCAGACACTTGTCTTTGCAACACGAAACACAATGAGGCAGCTGCAGACAGCTTTGATTTCCCTCCCCGAAGCTGCCTCTGCAACACAGCTCTCTAATGAAGCACATCTTGCTGCTGTGGCCCCGTTAGTGCCCAGGAGTCGGTGTCGTCTCAGGAAGGTTCGTTATCATTTTGGAGTTCATCATGTTTCAGTTGGATTCTAATGCCTCATAAAAATAGGCTTCTTCTCTAGATGGGTAGATGTATTAGAGAGCAGCTCATGGAGACAGGGGAGGAAGGAAAGTAGAGAAGAAAAAGAGGGGATATGTGAGGAGTAACAGTGCTCCTAAAACTACTTCTTATTTCATCTGAGCTATCATTCCTTACTATGTTCCCTCCTCTGTGTTGTGTTAATTCTCCCTTCTTTTTTGGCTGCTTGTTGCCAAAATCTGGTCGTAAGGCAACAGCTTTTCACAATTTTAGCAAACTGAGCCAAGTATGCAAGGGGAAATTGTTTATTCAGGAGTGTCTTCCAGCAGGAAGCAAAGAACAGGAGCTAATTTGCCTGTGGGAGGGGAAAAGAGCAGTCAGATACAGGGAAGACATTGCATTAGTGAGATCCTAAGTTTGTAGCTAACTGCATTTGAATAAAAGCACCACCACAGATGCATGTCGGCTGCAGGGAGTGGGGGCTCTGTGACTGCTGAGCCCCCTATGAGGGCTGGGAAGAAAGCTGCTCTCAGCAACTGGGGGAAAGGTATTGTGCTGGAATTGCAAAGTGCTGTTATAAAAGCAGTGTGAGACTATTTCCAGTGCCTTTCAGTTTTAATGAACTAGGTGTCATAACGCCCTTGAAAATCAAGGAAGCTGGGTTTTTTTCTTGAAAAGGGGGAGAGACATTTTTTTATCTTGCAGTTTGTAGAGAAGGGAACTATCTGAAAATGGCCACAGCTTTCTCAATCTCTGCTTCCCTTAGATTCCCATTAATCATGCTTAAAGGACCTCCCATTAGCTTTGCAGAGGTCTGGGGAGGGATCCTTTATATTTCCAGCTCTGCTGACAGCAAAGGAGTCAAAATGGACACAAGGAAAATATTCTGGTTGGTGTTACTGGTGATGGTGTGAGGATCTGCAAGGACCCAGCTGAACCCAGGCAGTGCAGCTAAACCATGCTGACCCTTCCTATAGCCAATGGCATTACAATCCTGTCGACTCTGATTCTTTGGTCCAAAAAGCTGGTGATTTCCATGGGATCAGCTGGGGTGGGGAAATCTTAGGGATAAGCCCAGTATGATTAGAATCTGATTACTCCTCACTGTTACTCTCACCACAATACTTGTCAAAGGAACCTGAATGATAAAGCTGCTTCTGTTGAGATCTGGCTTTCAGGAGGAGAGTGGAAATAACAGCAAGGAAGAGGAAGATGTATCTGCCAGAACTAACTCTTCAGATCTTGGATTTCCAGTGTTCATTTCACTATCTTTAATCAGCCACCTGATTAAAGGCGGTTAAGTGGAAGATACACAAACTTCAATCCTTTAAAAGGCATGTCTGCCAGGTGGTTTCCATGGGCCTTTAACTTTCCCACAGTGATTTTCTCTGTCAGTCATGTGCTTCTTTCTGACATGCTTATTCCCCTGCAGTTGTACGCAATCTTTGTTTCTAACTGGGGTCTGAGCTTCAGGGTGGACAGAAGGTGTTTTGGGGGAAACGGCTGCCCTAGATGCTGCATCTTGGGGTGCCCTCTTCTCAGTGACAGCATTTCTATCACTCACGTTACACAGCATGTGCCGTGGCAGCTTCTCAGTGTGGGACAGCCACTCCTTCACTCCATCTAGGACAATGGGAATGAGGCTCACCACACCTCCAAAGTGATTCTTTGCTTCGTCACAGCTCAGGTGATTCACAACATCGTGAGGGTATCTGTGGGACAGAAGGAAGCATTCGTTGAGTAGTCCAAGCACTGCAGCCCTGGTGAGTCCAGCAGAGCCACCTTGAGGCCCATGGGGAAGGGTGGAGATGTAGAGACAGCAATGACCCCAGAACAAAAGGGCACTGATAGAACTTGAGAAAGGAGCTGTGCCACACACGGTGTTGTGGCTGCTGGACTCAGCCTGCAAGAGTTCAAGAGCAAATACAAACATCTTCTCCATGAAATTAACTATACACAGAGCAGGAATAGCAGCGAGGAGCCAGAATGGTGTTACAACAGAAATCAACAGGGATGTCAAGTAGGAATATGCATTCTTGCAACAGTCTTCCTGTATCCACAATTGCTGCCATAGAACTCAGCTGATGGAAAAACATACTTAGCTCGGATGGTGCTCAGATCATTGCTGTGGTTAAGGAGCAGCTTGCATCTTTCCAAAATTTCATTGGTTGTGCTGTTACCAGGATGTACAGTTTCCAGCTTGTGGCATAGATTGCTCAGGTCGTTACAGATGTTTAGGAACATGGTGAGGATACGCCTGTCTGTTAAGTTGTTACAGTGGTGGTCCATGTAGGACTGTACCTGCAGAGTGCAACATGGGGAAAGGCAGGGTCATACATGTTAAATTACACTGTGATATGCTGCAAAGTTGCTTAGGTTAGTGATCAGCAGATACTTTCTGGTGTGACTGAAGGAAAGCCACTATGGAAAATGATACAGAGGCAAGCAGCAAGCTTTCTAGGGCATGCCTGAGATGTTTGCTCGTCATTTATCACAGCTGAAGTGGGCTGGGGTAATGGATCTGTTTGTCAGCACAGTGGCAAGCCTTCCTTCCCTCTTTGGAGAGAAGTATGGCAATACTGCAGCCAAAAACACAGCTCTGCTATGAGAACTGCAGAAATGGGTTGGGTGTAAGCAGGGGAGTTTTCTGTCTTCTGCAATGCCACAACTGCTTGCATAGAATGGGGTGGGAGATAGGGGTGGTGGCCAAGCTGGGAGTGTTTTGGAGTAATAGCATGAATGTGCTTGCATACGTGCACATTCTTCATGGTTTTTTATTTGGCACTATTAGCTGTGACAGCAAAATTAAAACCATTTAACCCAAGTTGTCCTTAGTAACCTATTATAGCAATGACAATTCCCTATTTGCCTTGAATGGTTTTGTTACTCAGAGTAAATGGCACTGCGTGGTGAAAGACACTGCCAAGAGATTCAGTATCTGCTCCAAAGACATTACAGACTCTTCAGACTTGAGTGCTTGAGTGGTAGGAATGTAAAACATGGGGGAGGGGAGGGTTGGCAGCCATGGCTGGACTGTAACACCTTCAGTGCTTTCTGTAAGACTTCAGCATAAGAACGAAGGAACCCCTCTAACACCAGCATGCTCTGTGCATACAGAACAGCCATGCTATACACCAGGGCAAATTCTCAGCAGGTTTGTAAGAGAAATAAAGAAGGCCCCTAAGGATCCATTTCCACTACACATTTCTCCTTCCTTTGCGTTCATGGTATGTTGTGTCCACATGAGTGGCAGGATTTTTTTTTATTGCTGCTCTGAGCAGAAACAGTCCTAAAGTGAATAGCATTCAACAGGATTATAGGACTTCTTTCTGTCCATATCAACAGAAGACAGTTAATGCACCTACACATCCAGGAGGGGACCAGGACAACATGTGCAACAGCTTGCAGTGACCACCGGGTTCTGCAGCAGGCAGTTGCTGGCTCTTAAGCTGCAGCCTGGGGAGCTCAGGGAGAGCTGGACTGAAGCCATGAGCACAGCCAGGCTCGGCAGCAGAGGCACTTGCTGGGTTATTTGAGTCTCTGATCGAAGCAAGTGACAGCACAGGTATTTGTTGTTTTTATTCCTATGCCCTCCTATATACAATTAAAAATAGGATTGGGATAAGGCAGAAGAATGGCAGTGAAACTAAACGCATGACTGTTTTTGTCCCAGTGAAATTTCTTTGTTTCAGTTCCCACATGAGCCCACCACCACGTGCTGTACCAATATTCCCTGCTCTCCCCAGTAACAATCTCTTCCTTTTTCTCTCCTTTCTCTAAGGTGACATGGTCATATCCCTAAGACTACCCATGCAGTATCGTTTGCCACCACTGAGTCCACATCACTGTATCACAGTTGACACCATGGATCAGAGTCACGTATGAAGTAGTTGCTAGGAGGTTTCATCCCTAGAAAAAGCAGGTCTTTCACCCCACCAGGAAGCAGAGTCTAAGCTTGCTCTATGCTTCTGCAATATCTGTGCTTTTCATAATGCTATACAAAACTTCAATGTCTATTTTTTGGGGAAAAAAAAGAAATTAGCTTAATGTCTGTGTGAATCCCCTTCAATGTTAGGAACAAAGCCTGTATGTTAGAACAAAGTCAACCCTCTTCTGTTTCTTAATCTTAATAAGAGCTTGGCCTTCAGTCTGGCTTTGGCATGCTCCTGGTCTTTGTGCCTGGGTTCTGCTTTCTCACATCCACTATTCTAGTTCTGTTTGGATTTTTCTTCCCCCTTTGTCTTCCAGTGATTGAAGTTTGCACTACTTAAAACATCCCCTTATCAGAATTCCATGACATTTCACTTACCAGCCCAGAAAACACCTTAGCCCACTTGGGACTTTCAGCCCTCAATCCATCATACTATCTCTGTAACACAGCCATTATTTTTAATAAGCACTACAGAAACATACAGTAGCACCAATACCAGGGGAAGAGGCAAGCATGCTGGTTACTACAAGTTAAGGATTACAGATTCCATGTGTGGCTGGGGAGGGAGGGCTGGTTTGCTTGTAATACCCTGTATTTCTGCCTATGCCTCAGCAGTGAAATGGCAGCATTAAGCTAAATCCTACAGCAATGCTGAGTGATGTAATTCCTTTTCTGACAATGGGAAAGTCTAACAGAGGTGTTCCTTTCCTCTGCTTAATCTTTTGCCACTGCTTCACAGTTATGCAGAAGCATTAGTAACAAGTTTGTGTGCCCCCTTCCCGTGAGCAGAGATCTTTGTGCTGAGCATTTTGTACCTGGCTGATGCTCGCCACGGGTCTGATCATGTCGTGTGCGTTCTCTCGGGTGTGTTGCAGAGCTCCAACAAACGTGAACTGCTGCTGCAGGAAGAGCTTGTAGTTGTCTTCTATGACTTTTAGGGTATCCCTTACCTCATTCATCTTTTCCCTCTGTTGGAATCTGGGAGAAAAGGAGAGAAAAGCAGCTCCTTTTTAGAAATGACACGATTCTACGTGTGTAACTCTGTCTTTCAGCAGAGTTGGAAAGCAACAGCACCACCAGAAGGATAAAAAAGCAGAAGATATACGACGTCAAAGCACGGCGGTCCCCGGGCCCCAGGCAATAAGTCATGGCAGCGGTAACGATGCTGGAAAAGAGGCAGAGAGCCCGGGGGGGCCGCTGACAATCAGCCGCCATAAACCCGAGCGGGTGTGCTGTAAACAACGCAGCACTGCATCAGTCACGGCGCTGGGAAAGGGCCGCAGGGAGAGCTGTCGTCTTTTTGCCCGTGTAAAACCACTGCCCGAGGGGCAGCGCAGGGCAAACGGAGCGCCTCTGCCCGCAGATGGCTCCAACGCCCTCACCCCTTCACCGCCGCAGAGAACCGGGCCGGGCCTCCCCCTGCAGCTCCGTACCGGCGTGTGCGGCCGTGCGGGGCGGTGGGGCCTGGGCCGGGCTCAGCACGCACCGCGAGCCGGGTCCCTAGCAACCGCGGCCGCCGTCTCCGTAGCAACCGTCGCCGTTCGATGACGTCACACCGCGTGCCGCGCAGCGAGGCGGCTCTAACGCCTCTCTTACGTTCCGCGGCGCGTGTCGCTGCGTCGCCTTGCAGTGACGTCACTCCATAGCAACGCAGCACCGCGGACGGTTGCTAAGGGCGGCCATGGACGCCCCCGCCCGGCCGTGGCCGCCGTCGGTGGGCGACTACGCGGAGCAACAGGGGCTCTTCCGGCTCCTGCAGGTGAACGGGGGCGGGAAGGGGCCGGGGGGGCCCGGCTTTCCTCACAGCCTCCGGCGTCACAGGGAAAGTGGGCACGTATGCCTCCAGTGCCCGCGTCAAACTGAGCCCCGATGTGCAGAAGTGAATAAAATGGAGGGGAGGCGGGTGAGGATGCGGGCACGGAACAGCGAGGGTCCGTCGCTGTCGGCCCGAAGGAGTTCGATGAAGCTCGCTTTGCTCTGTTCAGTCGGGGCTCGTAGCTCGAACAAACGCTGCGAAGCGATGGCTGTGGGCTGAACTTCCAAGAAGCCGGCTTTGTGCTGTGCTGTTTGCTGCTGATAGAAACGGAGATGGATCGTTCACTCAGCACTGTTTGAGGTTTCCTGTTAATTACAGAACTCCCAGCTGTGCTGAAGTTCCTGGTGAGAAAATGGATGGAGTCGTGTTTGCCCATAGAGCCGCAGTCAGCAGAGATCAGTGCTGCTGGAGGGGCTTCGGCTCAGCTCCCCCCCAGCCTCCGTTCTGCAATAAGAGAACAGGATCCAAAAGCAGAGTTCAGAAAAGGGCTTTACGTCCCTTTTTTCCCTGCTAGTTTTCTGGCAGGACAGAGAGCAGTAAGGTTAAAGCAGCGAAATGTGCTGCTTTTGTGGTTTTGATTGGTTGGTTTGGGGCAGTTGTGTGTGTTTCCTGTGAGCCCCATCTATCCCACTGCTCTCTAGGCTCGCTGGGCACTTGTAGGGATGTGCCAGAGGTTTAACTTGCCCCAAAAAGGCACTAAGGAGGCTGGTTTGGTGCTGTCTGTGTGGGTTGATGTCAGTGCTGGCTCAGCTGTTACAACACTGGGGCAAAACCCTTCAGGTCTCTGCATGTATCATAAATAAGCAAAAGCAAATTGCTGTGGGGTTTTCATTTAATTCATTTATTTATTTATTATAAAACCGTATTTCACTTTTTCAGCCTCTAAAATAGGGTTTCTATTCCCTGCTTTGTCTGTTGAAGGGGACCTAAGAAAATGAGTGAATAAGATCCTCATCACCACCTTGCTGTAACATTGCATCGTGTTGTGACTGAGAGCCCTTTAATTTTCCTCTGACTTTGTCCTGTTGTTTTTCAGAACATGCTTGAAGAGCTGCTAATTCATAAGCCGGAGGACCCCATTCAGTTTATGATAGAGCATTTAAAGCAGCACAATGATGATGGTAAGTGAAAATTGAGAGACGTTGCAAGGCCTTATTTGCAAAGAGCTGCTCAGAAATGGCATTTTGGTTGGCAAAGGGTGGATAAAAGGTTTCAGACCGTTCCTTGGAAGGAATGAAAAGGATTGAGCATTATGCAGTGGTTATAAGTAAAGTGCTTTTAATTTCATCATCATTTTTTTTTTTTAAGTGGGTAATCTAATAAAAAATACACTTACAACAGTTATAACAATGAAACCCTCTAAGGGAATAACAAAGAGTTCTATTGTATCAATTATTAATGTGTTCCGTGCCCCATCTGATATTTCCTGTTGTCTTTAAGCTCGCTAATTACTCCTTTTGTCAGGTGTAAATTTGGTTTCCCATTCTACCTGGGCTGGCAGATTCTCTGGTTTTTGATTAGTTAGTTACTAGCTGTTGTTAATGAGTTCCACCGCTCAGTGGCATCTCAGATGAAGGAACAGTGAGTGTGCCTACTTGTGTGGATAACAAAACCTGGTAAATTGAATGGGAAGGCTGTACTCTGCACAATAAAAGCATGTACACTCAATCAAATTATTTGATTTACAAACTGTTCACCCTTAGGCAGATTCTATTTGGATATGCACAACGGAACTCTAATTTTTGTTCTGCGTGAGCTGTCAGGAATAGCTGGTGTCATGTTGCTTTGATGTTTCTTTAAAACCGGAGTAAACCATTATGAAAGTTCTGCTGCAGCATCAATGAAGTCATTATCACTGGAGGTGCTCTGAGATCTTCATACATCGTGGTAGGGATCAGATGGATGTTGATTGAAACACCGCTCAGTATCAAAACCAGAAAGAAATATCCAATCCTGCAAATTATGCCCAACCCTTCCTGATGTGGGCAGCACCAGTAATCAATCTGTTTTATTGGCCCGTGGGCAATTTGCAGAGGAATTTCAGCTTGATAGAATGCTGATAAGATTTCTCTGCTTTACTCTAACATTTGTTGTGGAGCCCCACAGAATTGTTTGAGGGGATTTAGGCGGGCTTCCATTTTGTGGCTTCAGTTCTTGGAGGCTAAAGATAGAACTACAGCAGTTGTTTGTCAGAGGAAAAATGCTGTCTGCTTTTGGTCTGGAATGAGCTATTAGGAAGGGGAAGGCGCTCCAATTAAAATTAGAGACTAAATGTTGTTTTAGAGATAAATTATATGGAAAATAACGTAACAGAAATCTGTAACAAGGTTGATTTTTACCTTTTTGATCATGGCAGAAGGTGCTGACTATTTAGAAGAAAAAAAAACCCTTATTAGAGCCATCAGTAAAGCAATGAATTTTCATGATCCTGCCTTGCTAGACAGCTTTAGCCCTAGAGAAAATTTCAAACAGAGACGTGTGGAAAAGGAGTACTGCATCTATCCCAGGTGTGAAGTTAGAAACCCTTTTTAATTAATAATAAGATCTAAAGTACTCTTAAAAATATAAACAAGTCTAATGATGATTATAGCTCACAACTGCCTCGGAAAGCTCCTAGGTCAGATGCACACCAATGGGTTTGTGCTTCCAGTTCTGTGATATTCTGCTTTTGTGTGATCCTTCTTAACGAACGATATGAAGATTGAGAATTCTTTAATATACAGAGATGTGAATTCTGTACGTTGTATCTTGTTTTTTGTTAATAAATAGAGCCTTCAGGATCCAAGCAGCATTTCTGTGGGCTTTTGCTTTACAATTGTACTTCTAAAGGAATTTAACAAAGTTCTGTAAGAATGTTCTTCATTTATTGTGTGCTGTTCCTCTTTGATGAGGAATTTCCCTTACAAATTAAGCAGATTTTATTGCATTAATATTAATTGTAGACTCTTTTAGACCTAAATGGAATGCAGAGAGTCCAGCCGTATTTCATTATTCCAGAATTCATTTTGTTTATTGCTAAAAGCATCCTTGGATGTTAAAACTTAATAGTGCTTGGAAGAGTAAATCCTGTAGCATCGAGACTAAACACAGAATGAAATATGATTTGGTACTGCAGAAAAAGTCATTTTCCAGATTTTTCTGACTTCGTTTAGGGACTGGAGGTCCGGACCTGCAGCATTAAGCACCAACTGTCTGCTGATTGGAGGGGGTTAAATATGACATCCAGCCATGTCCTGCTTGTGCCCTCGTGTCAGATGTTTGGGGAGAATGCTTTAGAAGAGCCTTACAAGTGTGCAAATGAGTAAATCAGTGAATTACGCTGCCCCATCTGCTGCGAGTCACTAAGCAGAGAGAAAACCAGATTTAGTACAAAGTGAGCATTTACAGTAGCCCTGGGCAATATTAAAGCATGATATGGTGTATATAATGGTATGTTTCGTTTTTTATCAAACGTTTGTCCAAGAAAGCTGTGTATTAAAGCTTCAATACCTAAGGGTTTTCTTGTGAATTTTAAATCATGCTCCTAGTTAAACCTCAAAAGGATCTGTGGATGGAAAGGTTTTTTGATTTTCTTTGAAGTGGTTTGAAGAAGTTGATTAGTGTTGGCACCCGAGCACTCTTTTATGACGCTGTTTATAAATAATTCCTAAGTATCGGGCTGGAGTTTCAAGGTGTTAGATTAAAAAAAAAAAAAGCCCTAGGATTTAATCACATTACATTTGAAAGAAATTAGGTGATAAAAACAGCTGATGTATCCTTTTAAAGTATTTTTCTACATTGTGTACTAGTTCTGTTGCACTTGCAAGAACCAATAAGGGGGAGTTTTTTCTTAAACCTTCTGAGTCAGATAACTTTGTAAAGATGAATCTGTAATTTGGGTTTCATGTATGTTTAAAAATTGCACCTGCCCAATAACTGTTAAGGCCTCATAAAAATACATTTCACATCCTTCTATGTCTGCTGTCATCAGAAACTGTATTTCCCTCGGTTACCAAGAACTGAAGAGGTTTGGGGGTGAGCAGATCCCTCCTCTGTGCTGACCTGTGTTATTCCTGGTAAGCCCTTGTCAGCCCCTTCTCTAGATGATCTTTTTTTTATTATTATTTTCTGAGAAAACATCAAAGGCATTAATAGAAAATGACAGCTCCAGGGACTGCAGCCCAAAATATGGTTGTGCAAAAAGTCCCAAATACTTTTCTGAGAGTTGCTCCATTTTCCCTTTTTTTTTTTTTTTTTTTTTTTTTTGCCTTGCCCCTGCTCTGTTCACATTACAGCTATCAGTGGCAGGATTGAGAATTCTCCCCATCTTGGGTGGGGGACGTGCAGCAGAGAAATACAACATACAGAGAGGGGGGAAAAAAAAAGGCCTTTCAACACTGACTTGAGAACATGAAGGCAGCTGTCAAAGCGTAGAGGAAAAAGTGCTTAGTTTTGCAACATCTAAATCTTCTTTCAACCCTGACACAGCTGTTTAGTTGCAACTAAAATGCAAAGTCTCATTTTATTTTTTGTGATGGGAGCCAAAAGCTTTGCCAAAGTTTCGTGGTTTTGCTACCATACTTCATAAGGAAAATGAGAAGAGATTAGATGATCTCCAGAGATCCCCTCCAATGTCACCAACTCTATGATTACAATAACAGTCACTTTTAAGTAGTCTTGTCCTGCAAACACAAACTATCTTCTTTTTTTCATTGCAAAATATGCTCTAAATCAATCTTTTGGGAATAGAAGTCAAACTGAAATAAGAAAATGTTCCTGCTTATGCACTGGTTCACCCCATAAACTATTTATCTGTTGGAATAGATAGAAATATGCTTAAGTGACATGTTTAGTTAGGATATCAGTCTAATTAGCCCTGGAGGTTAAAGACAGACCAAGGTGGCACTGAGTGTTTCCCCTTCTTTCTCCTCAGCACAGCCCAGTCCTGAGCTTCACATTCAGGCAGATTTCCTACTGAAATAATTGTTTCAATGTGCTTATGGTTATGTTGTGCAATAACAAGGAAACAAGTCTGGATTCTTCTTTGGATTCCACATCTTAACATTCGCATGTTTTCTCATTTCTTAGCTCCAAGGATTTGCATACTTGGTCCACCTGCTTCTGGTAAAACCACAATGGTAAGTATGCTGTTTTCAGGGCTCTGACACTGCCTGTGTACCTTCTTGCTTTTTTTTTACTCAGCACAGCACTTGTGAAAATTGTCAAAGTTATAGAAGAGCACGAGGCACGTTGAAGGGTGGCATTCAGAGGGTTATTTACCATAACCTGTATGTTAAATGGGAGCATGCAAATGAGCTCTGTAAGAACTCATTTGCAGGGGTAGTGGTGGTGCTACTGCTGTAATGCAGCAGAGTTCTGCATGCCTTTTTAGCAGGGTTAGTGAACCTGGGATGAGTTTGTGGTGTTCCCACATTGCTTTGTTTGCATGGCCAGCTGTCTTTCTTGTCCACCCTGAAAATGTCAAAGTTGTGTTTGAGCCACAGAGAGAGCTGAGCACAGAAACTTCACAGATGATGGTGCTGTGTGCATGCTAGGAAGAATGCTTTCTTCTTTAAAATCCATGTTATGGTAAGGTAGATGAAAAAGGCCTTATTCAAAGCTGTAGATTCTTGAACGTCTTTGTATGATACTGTTTAAAGTTACACATATAGTCTGCTTGTTTAAATTGAAGGTGAGGAGAGCTCCCTTTCTTTCTCGAGTCTGCTGAAAAAATGCTTCATTTTCTTTCCAGATATTTCATCCTGTACTTTTTTATCTTTCCTCAGGCAATACGGCTTTGTAAACATTTGGATGCCATACGTATCTCTCAGGAGACTTTGCTTTCCAAGGAAACATTAGCTCTGACAAAGGAAGCAAAGGCATATAAAGAAAGAAAACAGGTGTGTAAGAGGATATAATAATGGTAGCTCTCGTGGTACAGAAGGAGAATTATGTGGCATTTCCATGATTTCCACTGCTATGAGTTGAGCAGATCAGAGTAAATATTCTTGTATCTGGGGGGGTTTATATATCAGTTTATGTTTACGTAGGTGCAGGGTCCTTCAGAGAAGAAGGGTAGCCTCTGCTTGATAAGAAGATATCTACAAGTATAAAAATATGTCAGGGCATAGAATTAGGGGCAGGAGAGGAAGAAAATGTAGAATAATGCAGATCTTGAAAACATGAACTTGGACATGAGTGACAGAACTGAGAGAAGCCCAGGAATGCTTGGTACCACTTAAAGAGTGTCTCAGTATATCATTAAACAAAGCACCTTCTGGTTTCAGCATATTTGGTAATCTCCATAAAGTAAGCATTAATCTCTGAGGCTTCCTCCAGTACAAAATATGTACGCAAAGAACTCTTTTTTGATCTGACAGAGCTACTTAGTCGAGCACATTTGATTTCTCTGTAGCATGACACGAATAACTCAGTGCATTAGCTCAAAAGTTGAATGACAATTCAGTCAGTTGTTGAAAGCTATAGAAGCTTTCAAACTGAGGCAATAGCAGTAGACTCAGGAGATCATTCCATTCTCAGGTGGGTGCACATTGTCCAACTGTGAGTGCACCATTTGCTCTGTTCCAGGTTTTTCATTGAAAGCAGTATGTTTTTCTGTGACCGTCTCTAGCAAGTCCACCATTCTGAGTTGCTTTTTTTCTTTATCACTTGTTTTTATAAAAACTGAAAGAATTTCATGTCTGGAAGAATTCCGTATCCCTACTAAATTTGATTTGAATTGGTCAACAGATTCAGAATTTGCTGAGGTGGTAGGTAGTGTAATTTCATAATTTTGGCTTCCTGAGAAAACTAAGTTGAAAACAGAGTAGTGTCTATTGCACAGAATTTATGAGTGAAGTTTGGAGATACCTCAAGTGATGCATTTAAAGATCTGAGAGGAAAGACGTCATTGAAATCATGGAACTTGCTGGCAAAAAGGTTTGCTTTTGACTGGGATGATAGAAAATGATTCTTACTGAGCATATATACTTTGAAATTTTAGTTCTAATTATTAGAGATTGTTTTACTAGATTCATAAATTTCAGCTTAGATGGGGGAGAATTTAAAACAAAAATTCCCGTTGGTTTAATTACTCTAATTATTAATGTATTTCAGACTATACAGATGTACTTTCAAGGGTGTCCTTTTGGGCTTATTTGGTTCAGAAAGATGGATGGTGTGGAAGATGAAAGGCAAAAATGTCAAGGCTAATCAGGTAGTGAGGGCTGTGAGGAGTGCCTGAAGAGCAGAATTTGTTGGTGTTTCAGCACTGTGCAGTTTGCCTTTGTTTTTGAGATGTTAAATGCTAAATATTAAATCACTCACTCATTTCTTTTGTTCTTTTACACAAATTTGAATCTTCATATGTAACTCCTAAAACTGGGAGGGAACTCCTTGCTTCCTCTACATCAACTGAACCTTTAGAGTAACTTCAAATGTAGGCAGAGTATCATCTCAAGAGCTGTATGTTCTCTTCCTGTCTCATGGCTGCTGGTTACATCTAGCTTTGCAGTAACTGACCCTAGGTTCTTCTGAAACAAGCAGTAAACTTGATTCCTCTAGCATACGTAACATCCATTAGCACTAATAGGTTTTGAATGTCTGTTCAGGAACAGAACAATAGCTGTTTATACAATCTTTGATACAACCAGGGCATTTAAAATGTTGTACAGCTGGCCAAAGCAATTTAATAAATGGAAAGAGGAAAAGCATGAACTAAGATTGGTTCTGAAAGTCTAGTGTGAAGATCACATGACACAATTTAATGTTAGAGGAACGTTCAGTGTGTATAAGGTTTCTGGGGCTAAATTAACCCCATTGCCAAAGGTCATTTGTTTTTGGGTCAGTAGGCCAATGTTACCAGATTTGGGCAAATGCTACAAAAAGGTCTGCAAATATTTGTTCTCATATTTTACTTCTCTTTAGCTCTGCTTTCATCTCTTTTGTGTTCACTTCTAATAAGAGAAAAAAGCACAGGAATTCGCGGTATTTAAAGTGTGTGATTATTCTCTTTAGCTCAATTTTTAAATTTGGACATGCAATCATCTACTAACACACCTGGCCACTTACTAATGAGCACAGCTGAAGTAGTGAATTTTAAATATTGACTGTTCAAAGCAAAACGTGATCATTCTGCATGTAAAAGTATTCCAAAAAGAAGTAAAATATTTGAATATTCAATAAATTTGAGGAACCATGAGCTACCAATAAATATTCCATGAACAGAAAAAGAGGCTACATTTTTTGATAAATCATTGCAAATTATTCCCTCATCTCTAGTTATTATAATGTTAATAGAAAGCACCTTCAGGTTTTTTCCTATAGTGGAGTCTAATGATGTGTTACTGCATGTTTCACTTCTCCTGCTAGATGGGTAAAATAAGAAGCTGACACAGCTGTGCTAGCTGAGGGCTTGTGAGATGGGTGTGCTTTTAATTCAATACTGAGTTACAGGTGTTTGTGTACTACTGCATCATTTAGAACTGCTCTACAGTTGCATTGTATCCTCATAATTTCTTAGAAGATACAGAAGAGAGGAAAACCCAGGGCATCCTTTTTTATGCATGGTCAGTGTTCTATCCTATTCAAGAAGTCACTGTGAGCAAATGAATAGGAACTGTTCCACTCTTATGTATGCATTAAAAAAAAAAAAAAATCAAACTAAAAAAAGCCCATCCTTTTTGTGTATGTTTCTCTAAACAGGCTAAATGTACACACTCATGGTTTTCAAAATGCTAAGCCAAGTTTCTTGTGCCTTTTGGAAGGTTTGACATTTCAAGCAGCATGTCTTTCCATTAACTGGATTTTGGGAAAGGCTCGGAGTGCCTTCAATCAGATGCATTGCTTTAGTCATCAGATGTATATGTATCATTTTCATTCTTGCAGATTCCTGGGAGGAGAAGTCCTACTTTATCATGATGTATTCACATGGTAACGTGTAAATGTGCTTTATAATACCACATATGCTTTGGACTTGATGGTTTCTAATGCAATAATCAGGTGTTCTACAAGCCAGCTGTTCAAAGTGGTTTTGTAGGCTGCTGCTCAGTGGGAGGAAAACTGCCCAGGAAATGAGGCTGGAGTTTGAGCCACAGAGAGCAGAAGTAGCTAAAGCACAGAAATACCCGTGTGTCACCTGGATTGTTTTTGTGCAATAAACCCTGCTCAAAAGAGTGCTAAGAATACCGCTGCACTGAAAGAAGGTAGTATAATTTAAATTGCTTTGGCAGAGCTTAGCAGACTGGACCCCTGGCAGTTTCTAGCCCGTCTTGACATGACACATCAAAGAAGTAAGCAAGACGCTGGCTGTTTCTGATAGCAGCATGATGCACCTTTGGAAGGTGACAGACTCAAAGCCACAGACCCAGGTTCCAGCAGTGAGAGACCACGGGAGGCTTTGACACACCATCCTGTGGGACCTGCTGACTTTCAGGAGATGCAGCAATTCCTTTCCCTTTCTCTCTTTCACCTGCTCGAATGCTGCCTGATGAATGGCTGACACTACCACAGGTGCTGAGGCCTGGGGACAGCAGAGATGAACAAAACAAGGAAAGCACTGCCTGACTGGGCCACCTTGTTGCTTCCACTGCTGGGAGAGGACTGTTTTCTGCAGTGCTTTCTCCATTCTACTTTAAAGTAGGAACTCGTGTGGTGGTGTGTTCAGTGCTCCTGGTGGAAGTGTTTTGTGATTAGTGTGCTAGGAAACCTTCTGCCACGCTTCCACCATATCTATTTACATCCCTCAGTACGATGTAAGCCTACAGAAACGCTTTATTTCAGGATCATGTCCATCAGGCTATTTGGTTAGACAAAGAGATGGGAACCCACAAGTCCAGTTCACATTGTCAGGTGAAAGATAATTCCACACCTTGAGAGGGAGAGAATCTGACAGCAGCATTTTTTCTAAGTGATGGCAAAATGAATGAGGCTGAGGCAGAGCATTCAGCTGAATGGTCATTGACTCAGACTGCCAATGCCAAAGGTTTATATTTTATCAAGTTAATCTGGCTAACTTAACTGAGTTTGGCACTGGATGAAGGCCTGAGTTAACAAGATGGTGAAAACTATTTCCTACAAGGAGAGTGTTGTTAATTAGTTGTCAGGTAATTAATGTAACAGTGGAATGAAATATCATGGGTGGGAAAATAATCAGTCTGTAGAGGAGGGTCTTTGTTCTCGTGCCCAATAATAGCAGATACCGTGTTATAAAACATCCCTAGGTGTGGGCAAGTGGAAATCCCAGAAAGAAACTCCACAACAGAAAATCTTGGGACGAATCATTTCAATTCCATTTAGAACTTCTGCATTGAAAATTAAACTAACGTTAAAACGAACTTTTTAACATTACAATTTGTTTTAAATAAGCTTTCTGGAAGATGAAAGAGAGTTAACAGAAACTGAAACAAACTTCCTGAAAATTTGACTATCTTCATGTTGTCTGTGGTTGACGTTCTGCTGAGCTCACACGATGGCTGTTCATTTCACTAATGCTGTGTGCTGACGTGATGCAGCAGGTCAGATACTTGCAAAAGTGGCTGTGATATCCTTGTGGATCCTTTTGCCAGTTTGATATCCAACATGGTAGTCAGTGTGCAAAATTTGGCACCGCTTCCACGTTGGTGTGCAAAGTACATGGAGGTGGGCTTGGGCAAGCAGAAGTGTGCTCAGCTTACCTTCATTTGAATGCCTTTATTAACTCTCTGATCTATTATGTTAACGACTTGGGGCTTACACAGTTTTATTTATATATTTATTTCAAGAAGACATCTCAGTTCACCTTTAACCGGAATACGCCTGCATGATAAAATTCCTTTTGAACTCAATTGTGAATATGCAGCCTTTTTTTTTTTTTTTTTGTTCTTTCTTTAGAAAATTCCCAACGCGCTTTGGGCCAATCTGATCCGGGAACGTCTGTCAAACGTGGACTGCATCAAACAAGTAAGAATTGCTCCTCAGAGGACCAGTGGATAAGCACTTACACAACTCGTGCATAGTAGTTAGCATTCTGAGTCCTGAGCAGAGGAGGGAATGGGGGCAAATCTTTGGGGGCTCTGGAGCGGATTGCTTTCTTGAACATCAGCAGAGGGAGTTTGGAGCTTTATTAACAGGATAAAGGGGAGGATGAGAGTATGCATATGCTAATCTTTTAGCACTGAGATGATCAAAGGCTGAACAAGCATAGCTTTGTTGATTGCCTGGGGCAACTGGCAGAGTTGAAGTGGACAAAACAGATAAACAGAAAATATATAAAAATCAATATGTTAAGGCTTTAAGTCTTATTGAGGAAAAGAGGAAAAAGAGTCTAATGCTATTCATTTCAATTTTTTTTCTTTCTTATTGCATCTTTTGTTTCTTCCTGCGCAAGTAAACACTGAATTTGAATATATTCTCCTCTAGGTAATAATTAATATGTTCACTGCTAATTACACAAATAGGCAACTGGATAGTTTTGGTTGTACCCACAGATGGGTGGCTTTCCTTCCCCCTTTCCACTCCAGTATGCTCAATCTTAATGTAAGTAGAGACTATTAACTTAGAATCAAAAGAGACCTTAAGTAGATTAATATTGGTTGAAATTAAATGTCTGGACTCAACAAAAGCAAAACCTCCTTTTGTGTGTTTCCTTTAAAATCTCAGCTGTTGTTATGGTTTATTGACTCCATAGTCAGACCAATATAAAGGATTATTGGTAAGTCTGTAAGGATAAAAACCTCTTTCCAAACGGTGCCAAAATAATAATGTGTATTATTTGATGTACTGTTGAGAGGAAAAAGCCCATTGTCCACAGCAGGTGTTGCACTCATGAAAGACTGAGCAACATTTCCAGAAAACAGTACATGTGCTTAGAAGGGTTGCTCTGTCTCTTCAGCTGTTGGTCATAGGCCAGCTGGTACTTCTGACCTTGCAGGGATGTGGCAAGCTCACAGCTGTACTGAAATGTGTTACTCCTTGACATCATTCTCTACCTTGTTGCTTCAATAAAGCAGGGCCAGTAATTAATATTTCACTGAAGTGTGAAAATTGCTTCTTGAAGTTGTCCCAGCACCACGTCCAAAAGAAACTGAACATGCTGAAACCTTATGTCCTGTGCTTCTGGACCTGTAAAATTAGCAAGGAAAAGAAGCAAAACTAGCAAGAACTCAGATCATTGTTTTCTGCCCCTGACTGAAAGTTTCTGCTTTACAGCTCAGGTGATGTAAATGATTGCCATAAAGGTCTTCTTGTGCTGCAATGCAAAGTCAGTTATTTCAGCTTAGGCCACTGGTGGAGCTGCCTTGTGTAAGCTAGATCAGATGGTCAATTACAGTCTATGAACTGTGGAAAGGATAACTTGATCAGGATGGTAATGAATAGCTGGAGATGTAATCTCTTAAATTGTTCTTGCCTGGCAGGTTTGCTAGGGGACATCTGTCTGTGTTACATATCTGTTGTAGAAGTATAGCTGTAGCAAAATGGGTGGCATGCTGCTCTCCTTCAGCAATGCCTTAGGACTAGCAGTAACTAAACTGTGACCTATCCTGTTAGATAATGCACTTTATGTATGGGAATTGAATTTAAAATTCTGCCTGCTGGTATTTAATGTTATTGAGAAAAGGCATTAAGCTGAAATAAAACTTGCCAGGTTTGGAAGAAGCTCACATAGTGCCCTTATTTGCATGACAGTGCCCTTATGTGTGGAGGGAGAACCTCAGTATAGAAGTCCTTCCCATTACATCTGTAGAGAAAGCTGTGAAAGAGTAAAAATAAGTTAGGATGGGTGATTTTTGAACATTTCATTGAATTTTTAGCAGTTTACTGAGAGACTTACTGTAACAATAAGCTGGGGTGCATTGTTGGTTTGCATAAATATTTACAGATGACAGTATGACAGTACTTCTCCTCCCCCAAAGAAACACATGCAATTGTTTTATGACTGGTAACGTATGAAGCAAAGACCTGGCTTGTGTCTAGGTTATAGTTTTCTACCAGGTATGGATCCCACTGATGGTAATGGGGCTGAATCTCTGCAAATTGGAGTGATGAGTTGAACCCTGCACTTTTAAGTTACACCAATATTTGCTTACATGGAGAATTATTTAGATACTCTAAGCTGCTCTAAGTGGCTCTTATTTAAGTACCAGGTCATGCAAAGTCTGAGTGAGGTGACAAGATGGTTCAGATGCCAGCAGCTGCACTCCTGCCCACGTTTTGCTCCTGCTGTTATCAGAGCAACAAGGAACTGGCAGCACTGTTACAGGAGCAACAGAAGCAAAAACCTTTATTTCTAAAGTTTCCCTGGCATTCTGAAAGAATGAAATTCTTATTATTAGACTAAGTTAAGATTTCAGCTATTTTTAGGAAATAAGCATAACCATTTTGTTTAATAGAGAGTAATCTCTGTTCACTAAAACTTCCTCACATTGTGCATGTCTCCTCCGTGGGAGAGGGGATCTAGAGATTTTAATTGCCATATTCCCCCTGTATGATTGCAAGTAATGCAGTGGATTTTATTCTTCGTTGAGCAGATTTATGCCATCTCTCTCAAAGCATGAGTCAGCTTTTTTTTTTTTTTTTTTTTTACTGAAAATGTTAATAGATGAGGAGCTGGATGTTGGACACAGTACCACCAGCTGTTTGTTTTATTTCTCCTTGCGGTGTCATTGAGTTGGCATTAATTGCACAGCTTTCATCCCACTGACAGTAGGAATACGGGATTTTTTGTGCCATTGTTTTGACACTCACAGGTTTATAGATGTCACAGGCATTCTCTAAGGAGAACATTTTTATTGATCAACAGCTCTGCTGGAGACTGTGTTGTGTGTTCTTCTAATACAAATGTCGTTAGGACTGCGAGGGATCAGATGGGTAGGTCTTCCAGCACACACAGAAAACTTATTGCAAGCATTATGTTAGAACCTGGGACTTGGGAAGTTGATAGGAAAACTTTTCATCTTTCAGGGTTAGTACATGTTGGTTATGGCACCTCTGGCTGTTGTGTAACTCCCAGTGCTGGGACTGCGGAGGGAAATCACAGAACTGGGGAAGGCTGGTGAGGAGATTGCTATATGATGAATTGCTGAGAGAGAGCTGAGCAGCCTTAATCCTGCCTTAAACCACTTAGAAACTAAGCTTAGGCTGGCGATGCACATGAATAGTGGCAGAATTACATCTGATTGGTATTAAACAATTCAGAAGGGTGGTGGCTACCATTGGAAGGGAAGGAGAAGAGAGCAGTGGCTTCTGGTTCTTCTGATCTTGCCATGATCATCAGATAAAGATCATCATGCTGTCTCTGTGAAACTCCATACAAACATAGTGAGGATCTATTTCTTTTCAAGAACAATGTGGCATTTTTATAGCTTTGTAGTTAACTAAAGCTAGAAAAATACTTTGCATGTGGGAATGAGGGGTTTCTTCCTAATGGAAAATTTGGTAAAGTTGGAGCTTCTTCCATCATTTGTACTCCTAATGCTGACAGGCTGCAGGAGCTGGGTTGGCAGTTTGGGATCCATCCTGGCAAAGCTATTACTGATATCATTTTGTTGTGTTATTTTCTGTCTCCTTTCTTCAGATGGCAGAGAAAGATGGAGTACTTTTTCACAACTACTGTATGATGATGATGTGGAGAATCTGTTGCTATGATCTGTTTTCCTAAGGGCAAAGCTGGTCGTGCCCTTTGGTTGCCATGCTTGTGGTTAAGATTTCTTTCAGAGGTGCCACGTAATTCAGTGCTACATCTGTGTGCTGTCCCTTTGCTGTTCTCATTATTCCAACCCAGTCTCAGTTTTGTCTTTTCTAAAACATTTTAAGGCTGTGCTGGTCAAATAACAAGAGAGAATTGAATGTCTTGGTCATTATTATTGGGGTGGAAGGTGTGAAAGTCTGGAGGCTTGGTCTTACAGCTGAGAGCAGTGTGCCAGTGAAGGAATGAGATCTACATTTCAGAATGACCTTGAGGTTTTCCTTTTTTCCAGATGCCTTAAATCTGGAGAGGAAAGTGATGGCTTTGAGCGTAGTTCCTTGTCACTGAATTTTGGTGTGGCGTGGGTCTCCAAGGAGCACTTCATTTGGCATTAAGGCATGAGCAGAAATTTGTATTTACAGCAGTCTTCATGGGGGAAAGGATGGAGGTTTGCAGCCGGTGACCACGGAGTAAGGCACCATGGAATTACTTGTTTTTAGCCTTTGTTCAACCCTTGATGTGATAAAGTGCAATCCGTGCTTGGATGTAAGGTTACTGCTATCAAGAACAAAAAATAGATGACTTCTTAAAGAAGCAAATTTACCATGTGAAGTTACTAATTACACTTTAATGATAGTCAGGAGGGCAAAAAAGACCAGTGTTTGCATAAAGCATGATAGGCATATTTTAAGTCAGGTCTTGCTCTGCTGTGTGTTGCTTCCTCTTGCTGGTTCCCAAGCCACACTCCTTTTTACTCTTTTTTTTTTTTAATAATATTTTTTTTTTTTTTTTTATCTGTGACATCTGCTTGGAGCTTGTCCCTCCTGTGATACCATACTACTTGCAGCTGTTCAGACCTCCAGCTCTGAGCTGTGCACGGGGTGCCCTGAGCATACGGCCTTTTTGATGTGTGATAAAACAGAACCAAGCCACTGGGGGTATGGAGAGGGAATGCAGCAGAATATCAATAAACCTGTTCTGAACAAAGCTGCAGCTCTGTGGTGGAATAGACATTTCACTGAAGTGTCAAGTAGATGGATAATGTATTCTAATTAGGGACTGACTGGTACCCTGGAACTCAGAGACCTTTGGAAATAAGATCCAAAATGCTAACTATTTTTGGAGCGTGTTTATTATGCATTTGTTTAATGCCTTGAAATGCATTTGTTGCAGGAAGCTATTTGTTGAACTATGTTTTACTGCACTGCAAAAACTTTCATTTATAAAATTCCTTATTGCCTGCCTTAAGGACCTTTGAAATGAGTATAGAAGCATCTTGAAGCTTACACTGTTTAAGAAAAGGCTTCTGTATTTTCTGCCTCTTGCTCAGGATTTGATTTTGAGCAGTAAGCTGTAGTGACACCAGAAGCAATGGTTTTGTGGCATGCTGGATATTTTTGTTTTTTTTTTTTTTCCTTCTGTTTAGTTTTCAAAAGCATTGTGCTTGGAATGAAGAAAATGAGCCAGATTTGTAGTCTGTGTAAATAGGCATAGATTTATTGGCTTCCAACCTCTGATGCCATTTCTCCTAAGAAGAGGATCTGGGCCTATATATACTCCATACAAACACAACATATTCAGGACTAGCACTGAAGTTCCTTGCATACTGCTAAAAATACTGTGCAGCCTTGCCTCCTGCAAGTCCCAAGGGATAAATTGATTTCTTAGCACCTGCGTGACCTCAGGCAGCGGTTCATTCTAATTCGATAGAGCAAACACTGGGAGTGGCAAAAATGGCTCGCGGTTTCTCAAGGCTCTTATTTTCTACAGCTATCAGCAGGATGACATGTTCCTGAAACCAGGCTAATTAAAGAATTTGAAGTAGTCTACTCTATTTTCGTGTATAATTGGAATGTCCCAATTTCCTCTTACAGAAGTCATGGAGATATGCGAAAATACTTCTAAAACCTTTGGACCCCATACTGGCAGAGCTTCAAATTTATGTGGGAGATGAGAATGATTGCTAGCTAATGCAATATTTAAGTGTCTTATTTCAGCACAAAGATGGTTTTTCCCATTTACTGTAGTATCTCAGAGTTATCTGGGGGTATGGGATGTAGCGACGAGGACGCGTGGTTCAGGCACTGATAAAAATGAGAGAACGTCCCAAAGATTCAGCCTTGAGTCTGGGAAGTGATTACTTCTCAAATACTGCATCACACAGAAGCAGAGTGAGGCTGCTGCTCTTCTCTGCTATTTCGCAAATCCGTAAATGTTTTTTTAAAGATGCTCAATCCAACACTTAGCTGGCTATAACAAGGACTTAAGGGAGCAAAAGGCTCTTTTTTCTTTTTCCTTTCTTTTGCTCTGTTGCTTCATTAGCTTTGGGAATGCCGGTTCCATTACTGTGAGTTTCCCTGTATAATTTAAGAAAATAATGAAAGCATGCATGTTTTCCTTAGTGTTCTTTGCATTAAATCTGTCTTTAGATTTGTTTAGCCTCTTTTTTTATCCACAGTGTGGGCTGGTATCCTTTTGAATATTTCAAAACTGTAGAAATTGTTTTGGGGATGTTTTTATTCAAGAGAGAAGTTTCCTTTTATTTAAGACAAGTATGGGGGAAAAAAAAAAACCAACAAAAAACATTTTTGCTGCAAGACAAACGTGCCCATTGCACTGTGGTGGTGGTAATAGTGCATGCCACTTTACAAAAATACCAGTGCTCCATGTTTGTGTTCTTCTCTCATAGGCATCTGTAACAAATATGATGCTGTTGTGATAGAGAATGGAGCAATTTGTCTGCGAGTAGCACTGATATTTAATGCTATTTTTTGGGTTTTCTCTTCCAGTACCAATAACACTCTCATGGTTTTGTTCGCTAGGGCTGGATTTTGGAAGGCTTCCCTGAAAATCAGGAACAGGCACGGTTGCTGCAATCATCTGGCATCATTCCGAGGCACGTTGGTAAGCAGTGCGAGGTTTATGCGTGACTGCAACCAGCAGGTGAAAGCTTTCAATGTTTTTCCCCAAACATCCTCTTTAAATTCAGTATCAAAATTGAAGACAACAGAGTCACCAGACAGCCAAAGGATGTTTCTGTGTAGTTCAGTTTCACTCAAAACCTTGAGTTAACCTGGAAATCTTGAAATCCTGTCTTTCATACATGAACCCTTGTCTTCCTAAATGTTAGAGAGAGAAAATTCCTGCAAGTATCTCTGAGCAGCTGTATGTAGCTTTGCTTCAGTACTAGGCATGGGTCTAAATTTTTTATGATTTCAATCTCTAGATCTCTAAATCAATCTCTAAATCTGTTTGGTGATTCTCAGATCAAAGCAATTTCCTCATCCCCTAAATACAAATTCATTCTTCTGCCGAATCAGAGAATACAAACTTAGCAAACTGCACTGCACCGAGTGAAAAAGAAACATCGTGATTTTAAACTTGATCTTCACCAGTGAGGATGAATTATAACTTGATTTGAGAGGAGCGTTTCTTTACTGAAAAAGAGCTCACAAACACCACCTGTACAGCTGCCATTGCCATCTAGAACAGCCAGCTGTCCCAAAGTCATACAGTTAGAGAACCTACTTAGGATGTAAAATTGCTTGGAGTACAGTGTGAAGTGATAGATGTACTGCTTTTCAGTGGATACTGAACTTAACACAATGTTAGAGAACTCAGATTGTCACTTTGGATTTGATTTGGATGAGGTTTGACTGTTCATGAAAAATTTGGAATCACTGCAATAGAGTCAGGCAAAAATGTTTAATGTCTGGTACTTGCATGTATTTTTAATATAGCTAATAACATTTGAAGTCAAGTTTTGCTCACAATTATATCTGTGCAACCACGACCTGAATGAGAATCTTAAAGCTCAGTCTGTCTAGTTAATCAAAAAGAAGATTGAGAGGAGATGAGATTTACAGTGTATGAGTACCTTAATAGGGAGAAAAGTGTCTGAAAGTGTTATTTGATACTGTGAAGAAACTCTTAAGAAGAACTGGTTTGAAACTTGTAATCAAATGCACTGAAAACAGTAATTAAATTACAACGTTTAGCTGTGAGAATGATGAGCTGAAAGCAACGCGGGAAACTGACAGATTCTCCATCTTTTGATGCTTTCTAATTAAGCTTGAACACTTTTCTGGGAGGTATCCAAAAATAGGTTTCACTGGTTTCACTACCAGAATAACTGGGTGTAAAGTAATTGCTCGTGGTGCAGAAGAGAATCAGTATTGGGTGATCTGTGGGTGCCTGTCTGTCCCAAATTCTGGCTATAATGTAAGTGAGGAAGAGCCGTGTTAATGGATGTGGTGGCTGGGATAGCCAGTGCTCTTAGGTTATTATTATTATGTATTTTCTCCTGCTATACTATTTAGGAGATGGAGGAAAACTCTGATTAAAGTGAAACTAATTATTTTCGGTAGAACATTGGGAAAAGATAATGAGACAAGTGGAGACAAATGCGTTTGAAATGCCTTTACCCATCTTTAAAACTAGAATACACTGACCAGCTGCAAGAAATAAAGCAGATAACTACACTTCTTTTCTTTCTTTTTCTTCCTACTGTTTTTTGGTGGGGGTGCAGTTGTGCTCTATGCTGCAGACACTACGCTGATTGAACGGAACAGTGGGAAGAGGCTCGATCCCCTCACAGAAGGTGCAGTGTTTGTTTCTTCCTGTTCTTGATTAGAAACTAGGCTAGGATAAGTCTTTTAATACATCCCTTTAAAAACGAGTAGAAATCTATAATTATAAATGTGAAATGTATAGAGTTGGGAAAAAAATGCGTTCACTTTATGTTATTTTCTGTGCCAAAAAAATATGGGAAAATGTAAAGCTCACTATTGATTTTGTAAACAGCAGAGTATGGCAGTACAGAATGATGCAGGTTAGGTCTGTCCATATGAATTTACATCATGCATCTGTGCTGGATCCTGATTTTTTTTCTGAGCTTCAGGCATGCTTTTGTGTGTCTTCCATTGAATGACTGTCACATAGATTTAGCTCCACATCATCTCTTGGGTAGCTGTCAGTACAGGTAAGAAGTGTGTTGCACAGATTGTTGCTTGTGCTACAGTTTGAAGCTTAAACGTAGACCTTGATATTCTCCATGAAACTGGAGCTGAGCAGGACTGATGAAATCATCCTCTTAGCTCCTAATTACTCTCTAACTTTCAGAGGTGTACCACACGACCTTTGATTGGCCAAGTGATGTGCAGATACAGCAACGTTTGGTGAAGCCAGATCTGTCTGAGGAGGAAATGTCAAAGCAATTGCTGGAATACCATAGGAACTTCCCCGGGGTGTTCCAGATCTACCAAAAAATTTTGAGATCGATCAATGCAGACCAGCCTTGTGTGGATGTCATATCACAAGGTAATTGTGCATCTGTATGACAAATGGTAGTTGATTAACTGTTCTCTGAAAGGTAGCTCCTAATTGTTTTAGGATTAAAATTAGTCAACACGGATGGCTCCCAGCAGTCGTGTTCTCTCTATTGCAGAGTTTGGGCTGTTCCTGATAATTATTTTCATAGGATTGGGTAAATGCAGATAACCAGAAAGTCTTGTTTGCACCCCTCCTATCAGGGAGCAGCTTGATTAGCACGGCAATTGTCAGTGACTTCTTTGAGAGTCACATAAGGCTGCACTGTGTTCAGCTGCTGACCCCCCAAAGGGCCAGTGCCTTCCACAGGTCTGAAATAAGAAGTAGGAGTCATTGAAAGCTGGTAACATTTCATGATTTAAAAGCTGCTTGTGCTTGTAGCTTTTCTCTTCAACAATCCTCGTTTGCCTTTGCTTGACTGTAATGCAATCTGACTTCTAGTGTTGATACTTCAAGAAGAAAAGAGGGAAATTGCCAGAACAACCAGCTGATAATGTACTTTGCAGCTGCCAGTCTGTAGATGATCTGTTATATATCTCAGTAATTTTGCATCTCATAAAGGTCTTTTTTTTTTTACTGACAAGAGCAGCACTTTTAAGATAAACAAGTAGGAAGTTTATATTCTGAATTTACGCATTAATTACCTCTAAATTACTTAATTAAATTTAAAAGTTCATATCATAATTCATAAAGAATTCATGCCTTGAATTGTAAATAAAAATGTGAGTGCCTGAATATTAATTATTATTAATTAATAATGTAGTGAGATAAATTGAAAATTGGAATGAAAAAATCCTCTCAAGATCTTTTTTTCTGTAGTGCATCAAGCAGCCAGATTTTTTTTTTTTTAAGAATAATTAGATGTGGAGACTGTCTAGGGGATCATTACTCCTAATTAACTTGGTTATTTACTGCAAATTAAGCATCATTTGTAAGCAGGGTGCTTTGCCTGTAATGTTTGTGCTTTTCAATACACAGGGTTATGGAAAATGTTCAGAATAACTAGAGCACTCCTTGGTTAGCTGATATTGGGCTCTGCAGCAAATAGACTTTGCTGCTGCCATTTTCCTGTTTGGTTTTGATTCTGTGGCAGCTTTTCTTAAAGTCTTTGTATTACTGCAAACAGAGGTTAAAAAATACAGAGATCTCAACAGCATTGGGATTTTAATGGATCGTTTCATACAACAATGAGATTTTGCAGACTCCTGAATTTTAATGGAATTACTGCTAGGATATGTGACATCACATCCAGTTGCATGTTGTAGTATCTCAGTACAGCTGGTAGGGCTGGAAAAAGAGATGTGTCATCCTATGTGTTGCAGTTTGAGGTAGCTTCTCAGTTCTCTAGGTTCTCTAGAAATAGCAGAGTGGGAGCTTTCTCGAGCTGCTGCTTTATTAATTAGTCCATAATGATACCTACACGTCTAGAGGAGGGTCCTTAGAAAAATTGCTGGTATGCAGCAGCATGTTAACAGTAGTAATTCAAATACTTATCCTGATGATGTTCTTCATTGATCCTTTTGTATTATTTTAACACAGAACTATGATTCACACAAATCCTAATGGCTGCCCTAATAAGATTCTATTTTATTGCATAGTTTAGTGCATAGACCTTCTGGGATTGGAGATGCCTGGGCTGACACTTGACTGCATATGCTGCAGGTGCAGAGTAAATTGAAGAAGTGCAGGTGTGCTTATGCAGCTTTTAAACATGGGTAGCAATGGCAGTCAAGGTGCAGTGGCATGAAGTTGAGCTTTTCTATGTGGATCTGTGATGCTGGAAAGCTCACGTAGCTTATAGTGCAGCTTTAGCTACTCTCCTTAGTGTTATTTTTGGCCAGAAAATGGGTATGGAGAGTAAGATTCCTTGTTGTGTACAAATACAATCCTAATTTGTCCTCACTGTCAAGCCACCTTGTGCTATAGCATCTTGGTGTCTACCAGGTTCTATTCTGAGACTGTAGCAGAGTTCAGATCTCTTCAATGCAGCTACAATTATACTCTGTGCATCCTGTGGTCCTTCCAAGCTCTTGTAGTCTGTACACTGATATGACTGTAATTTCTAATATGCAGTAGAAAATGTTGAAGAAGGAATACCATCCAACAGAACTGAATGAGTCAGAAGAGATCAAATAGCCTTTCCATGTTATGCAGGAATGATGGACAAAGAAAGAAAATTGTGCTCAATTATGTGTTGTCAATGCTATATTGTGACATGATACATTACAAGCCTGTGATAATGTAATTAGGAGTGTGTTAATCACAAACGATGCTCTGTAAATGTCATATTAATTTAACATCCTGAGTTTTTACAGTTAAATATTTGTTCAAAAACTGCAGAAAGTATTAAATGTAATTATCTCCCTCTATAATTTGCATGGTAAAATTGTACCTATCGAGCAAAAAAAAAATGACTTCTGCTAAAAACAACGTGGTGAAAGAGCAATTATTAATTGAATCTGCTCTTTAAAATGATTTGATGTCTGCTGATGAAAGGAGGTTCAGGAGCCTAATGATGGTAAGATTTCTAAAGTGCTACTCAGTGTAAGTTGCTGACACAAGAGTTTTATGAGAGTCTTGATTTGGGCTGCAATCTCTACATGTTTCCGTGGTAAAATAAATGTTGATGATGATTACAGCCTTCAAGAAAAAAAAAAAAAGAGAGAGAAGTTAACGTTTATATCATGAGTTAAAAAGACCTTAAGAAATAAGGTATAAACACCATTTCTTGCCTTTCTGTCCTCTTCTAGCTCTTACCTACGTCCAAACCCAGCACCGATCAGCTGCCCCTTTTACTCCACGTATTCTCTTTTGTGGCCCCCCAGGCAGTGGGAAGAGCCTGCAGGCAGCACTAATAGCTCAGAAATACGGCATTGTCAACAGTAAGTTCTCAGTAAATATGCACTTTGCTCAATTCCTCCTTTCTGTCTTTTTGATCATTTATCTTCTGCTGTCTGTCTTTCTTACTCACACCTAGAATTTCTCTGCCCATTGCTACGGATGTCAAATTTTTTGAGGGAACTGAAAAATATTTCAGTGTAGAAGTATATACCAACAGAACATACATTCTGTGACAAACCAGCTCTAATGTTTTTTTAGTCATCATTTTTTATATCCTTTACATCAGTGCTTTTTCACATGTTGGATTCTTGTAGTGCTGTGAATTCTTCAGTGGATCGGGGGATTGTGAGTGATAGCATTGTAGCTGCAGCTGTCTGACTAAATTTGGGGCACTTTTAAGAGAGAATTTGCTCTGAAAATATCCATTTTCTTTCTTTTCTGTCAGAAAATTCAGTTTGAGGCTTGGCTGGTTCCTGGTTAACATGCTGGTGTTAAAAAGTGCTATAATACAGATACTCAGCTATGTGATGGGATCAATATAATGTCCACATTCTATAGCATTTTCTAATGCTGGAGTAGCCATCAATTATTTTAAACAAATGTCTGATTTCTGTAAAATTTGCCAGCTGGCAATATCCTCTTGTTGAAGTAAAATGCTGGTTTGTTTCACTAGTCTTCTTTCAGCATATACCAAACAACAAAGAAACAAACCAGAATTAGGGAGGTAGTGGGGTTTTTTTGCAATTTTTTGTTTGCAAGTTTGGCACAGTGTTTTCATCTAGGTCAAAATTTGCATTTTTAAAAATAACTACTATGTAAAAGAGTTGCAGTTCTTTTTACTAAATACCATTGCCACTGCTTTACCCACCCATTAAATTTTATTGTTAATATTATCAACCAAATATTGTTAAGAATTGCCTATTTAAGACAAAGTCAGAAGACCATCATTCTTTTCATCAAGTCAGTGGTGCTGCTGATGTTGGTGCCATTGATTTCAGGGCAGAACTGCTCTACAGTTGTTGGTTGAAAGGCTGTGCAATAATGGATGCTGTTAGCTAGTATTTACCAGAAATGAAGTGGCATTAGGACATGCTGTGATATCACTTAACTTCTCCATACCTTGGTTCCCTCTCTGTAAAACGAGGTAACATGAGCTCATATGGGGCAGCCAGACACAATCACTCAATAACTGGTCCAAAAGTGCTGTACAGTCCAAAGTAGTGACATTTCATGTACTGCTGTCCTGAATGGAACTTTAAAACTGTGTCTCCTGGTGTTCTGTGTATTTGAAGTCAATGATAATATTGCATTAGCACAGTTTTTTTAATATAATTCTTGCATGATCATTAAATGACCCAGGGAGTCACTTCCTTGAGCTGCATATTATCCTGCACCCCCAGCAGTGCGGTTCAGATGCTGTTCAGCAGGTGAAACTTTTTTCACTAATTATAACTTTATAAGAAGTGAAAAACACTAGCAATCCCTTGAGTTACTATTTCAGTAACATATTTGATTAGTATCTTTCTCTCTGTTTTTAATATGATCTTTGCCAAATGTATTCTTTTTTATTCAGTATTCTCCCCTGCTCAGTCTTTTTGCTTTTTCCTCTGCTTGGCCAAAAAGAAAATAATCCTAACAACAAACCCGAAGAACCTACAACTTTTATTTTATTCAGTGACCTTATTCCAGTATGCAGCTTCTGTGTTGTGTTTTTTTTTTTTTTTTTTCTTTGTTGCTTCCTTTTTAAAATTTAACCTTGTGTCTTTTTGTTCTTCCTTCCTCTTAGTTTGCTGTGGGCAACTGCTAAAGGAAGCTGTTGCAGACAAGACAAAACTTGGAGAACTCGTTAAGCCTTATATTGACAATGGATACCCAGGTAGGGCACCTCGTTGTCTCATTACACTGTAGTTACAAATTAATGGAAGAAGTGATGAGTGATTTTTTTCTTGACTGGAGTTTGCGTTACATCAATCTGGAGGCTGCTTAATTCCATTCATTAGATGTGACTTACAGTACCACGCAGTTAAAAAAAAAAAACAGAAGTTAGATTTTTAAGCTCCTCAATATATTCAAATAGTCCACTGTTCAAGTGAAATTCAATATTTTTTTGTACACATTCCAAAATTTGAATTCCATATTTTTTATATCTAAATCAAAATTCTGATACAGCTGTGCAATTTAACAATATTTAAAGTGCTTTCTAAAGCATAGTATCCTGTTTCACTTTTATTTCAATTTCAAGCAGATGATAATAAGGACTGCCTACTTTTATACAGGTAGGTATTGACTTATAAAATGCTACTGTAGATTCATCTAGATTCACACAAGCATTTTTAACTCAAAAATAAAGTTTCCGTGTACTTCATTTCTTATTAGCCTCTATGGTGGTAGGAGGGGCATACCACAAAGAATATTTAAGTACATATTGCTTTTGGATGATGGTTCTGCAAGTGATTTCAGATAAATCATAAATACTGTAAGCTCCTTAGGGCAGCAGTTTAAACTTGCATGTTTGTTAGCTTTCTTGCACAAAGATAAGTTCTCTGTGGTGGATATTAAAAATCAAAAAAAGATCTATAGTTCTAAAATATAAATTGCATTTCAGTACGGTCCAAGCATGTTTATTTTGCCAAATTACAGTGGCCTGGAAGAGGAATTTTTAGTCCTATTTCTAGCAACAGGCCACCTGGTTACCAATGAGACAAATGCAGGGGGAAGATCTTGTTGAAAATTGAGCAATCTCAGTTAAGTTTCAATATTGACAGAACTTTGAACAAAAAAAGTCTTTGTCTTTTTTTTTCTTTTTGGCAAGCTAAGCCATTTGGTGAGATGGGAAGCTTAAAAGTCTGTCTCTTTTTTTTTCTTTCTTTCTTTTTTTTTTTTTGCACAATAGTTTAATTCTGTGACTGAATTACATAGATCTGAAACATGAGCCTATAAAATTAACTGACGTTCTCTCGATACAATATGAAGAGATTCAGTGCTTTCCTGAGCATTTCAAAAAGACCTTTGGCAGCCTGCAGCTTTGGGTATTCTATCCCTCCATCAAACCACAAGGTAATATATTTTAACTCTAAACCTGCTCTTGGATTAATGGCTCATGGCTGCCCTTTCTTGGAGAGAACATTCTGATCTAGAGATCCAACTAACCAGAACGCCTGTTTGACCCACAGGCAAGTGTTCTCAGCCTTTCTTATTTGCAATATATTCAAGGTCTTCAAGTATGGAAATAGTTTCTGTATGGGTGTAGTCTGATTGACTTTGGACCCGTGCCTGCTTGGTATCCTTTAATTTCAGAATCTTACATAAATACCCTTGTTTCACTTTTTTCTCATCCCTATGGAGTGAACTCTCTAGGAGTGTCCAAGGCCACGTTGGATGGGTCCCTGGGCAACCTGATCGAGTGGGTGGCAACCCTGCCTGTGGCAGGGGGTTGAGTCAAGGTGGGATGTAGGATTCCTTCCAACCCAAACCAATCTGTGATTTCTATGATGATTCTATGGGGAGGGGAGGACTGCCACTGCACCTTTCTCTCTAGATTCCAGTTACGTTTGAGACTGGAGTTTGGATGATCTGTCTATTCAAAGAAGCCCTAGAAGGGCTTTCTTTACTGTGTGTATTTTATAAACTTCATCTAACCATTGAAGATCCTAAAAGGGGATATCAAAAGCATTCCCAGGAGAGTAGGATAATTGCACACGTTGTAGTTTGCAGTCTTAAAAATACGCACATCCTTAGTCCAAGGGAGCTCCTTTTATTACAGGAACATGCAGTTGAAGTGGTAATCCATTTCTTCCTCCAAATTAGAAATTATTTCAGATTTAGACCAATTTTTTAATATAATATGCAAGGATAAAACTATATAGTGCTTTTGAATGTTAATGGGAATCATAACTATATTTCAGTGTATCGTGCTAAAAAAACTTCATCTCTTTGGCTCTGTATGCACATATATTTTATTTAGTTGGACACACTACAAAATTAATGGATGAATAAAAATAAATATTATCTAGCAATACCAGAAATAATAAGTTCTGTCACTTTGCTAATCCTCCTCTCCTAGGGATAACAAAGAATGAATTTACATTCGTAAACACTAACAAGAATTCATTAATGCCCTCACAAGAGCCTAGGAGAAAATGAAAGAACATAGGATGCTGAGAAGGAAAGATGGGCCACAGAGTCACAACCAGGTTAATATGAGGAAAAAATTCTTGTGCTATTATTGACTACGTTCTGTTTCAAGAAAATGACATTCTTATAGAATTAATTTAGCAAATAACAGTAAATGAGGATAAATACTGACTTTCACAGTGTTATAAATGTGAAAACAATTAAAACTTGAAAATGTTCAGTACATTACTAGTCACAGGTAAGCTTAGTGCTTCTTTTGGATATGGAATCATGGCAGTGATTACATCACAGAATAACCTGGAAACAAAGACAGACCAAGAGAAATGTGACACTCAAATCATTGCTAGTCAAAATCAAACCAGTGCCATAAAATCCTGAGGCATGCCTCATATATTCTTAAAATACTTGCCTTGGGGACAGATCTCAGTGTGGTTTCCCTTCTTTTGGACCATTGCATACAATTAGTCAGTCAAGATACGCCAATGGAATATGTCATGGTGTCATAAAAAGGTTCAACAAAATAGCTTATTCAAATCTAACTCATTATGGAGTTACTGAGGCTGTCCACTGTCTATTCTGTTCTAGTTCTGGATGACTAACTCAGATCTCTCCTTGTTTTCAGGACTCACAAACATTCCTTGTTATTGTTTCTTTCCTGTACTGCTGCTTCATGTATACTACATGTATTTCAAGAACAGCTCAAACAATTCTGTTATTCATCCCAGAAGGCAATTCAGTGCATTCCCATTTTCAGTGTTTTCTAGCGTTTGTTTTCTCATAAAGACCTTAGCTCTTGTTTCATCAAACTGATCAGATTTTTGTATGGTGATTTATTTTGCTTAATGAAGGTAGCATGAGCATTTTTGAACCCACTCATTTTTTAATTCCCAGAACACTCTTTTTTTCCTGTGCTAGATATTTTAATATGCGTTTTCAGTTAAAAGTTCAGCAACCAGACAGCCTTCTTTATATTACACAGATTTATTCTTTGGACAACTCATCAGAAATGTGCTGATTTTTCCTTTAGTACATTGTGATTTTCTCTGAATGCTGTGCAATTATTGCTAAATATACTCTGGGTAGAAAATGAGCAACCTGGAATCTGATACCAGTTTCCTGGTCCCTATCTCCTGTTAGCTTAAACCTCGGTCAGCAAAGCTGGATTCAGCACTTACTGTTTGTTTGGTTGGGATGGGAAGGCTGATGTGTGTGGGGTGAGATGCTCTAAGGAGCCTTTCCCAAGCCATGACCCTTCCCTAGGCAGCAAGACGACTCATATAAATGAATTCTTTCCATTTGGCTGCTACTGAAACATTGTGAAAAATCTGTTCCTTGGGCTGGTCCTTCCCTTCTAGTATTTCAGGGCAAATGTGAACAAATAATGCATGTATAGACAGCCCATTCACAGACTCCTCTGGCTTGAGGAAGACCTTGAAGGCCTTTAAGCAGGATTTGATCTGGATTGCTGTAATTCTGAGGGCTATTCTGCATCTTAGTAATGAAAATAGCAGAAGAATTTTGGCATGAAAAAGAAAGGCCATCAGTCAGCTGAAAAGAAATTTGTTCAGTGTTCTACATCTGCTCAATTTTATATGTCTTTGTGGTGAAACAGCACGGAGTGATCACTGTTACTTAACGTGTTTGCAAGGCTGCAATAAATGGAGCCAGGAAAAATGAAACGACAGGAAAACAGCACGAAGGGCAGAAAAAAAAAACAAACAAACCAACAACAACCCTGAAGCAGAAAGATTTTGCTTTTCAGCTGGGAGAACTGCTATTAGTTTGGGTAATGTTGTTGTTTTTTTTTTTTTCCCCCCACCAAAATAAGCATTCAGGTGGTAAAGAGATTCACGGAAGACAAATAACACGGCGCTGTGTGCAGCCTGTTAGGATCCAACGCACACAATCCGTGTTGGTTTTTTTCCTCTTCCTTTTTCAAGTAGTAACATACGAAGCTGTCCCCAATGGCAGCCTTTGTGTGTGTGTGTGGGGGGGGGGGGCACAATCCAGAATTCCCTAATTTCTCCTCTTTTCTAATAACAACTATTACCGCACAAACGAGGATTTCTCCCCTTATTTTCAACTGGAATGGATTTAAAGGGGTGCTTTTTGGTGCCACCTCTGAAAGTCAAGGTCCCCTGGTGACAGCGATCACAGTCTCCCTGAAAGCACTTGTGGGGGGTTGTTTTTTATTTTTATTTTTTATCCACATCAAATTAATATCCTCATCGCTGAGTGCGAAGCACAGGTTTGACAATAGAGCAGCTTCCTCTTTGTTTAAAAACTTGCAAAGACTTTCGGAGTTGAAAGGCTGAGTAAACCCTTCTATCTGAGGAGGTAAGCTTCGTGTTATTTCTTGTTTTTAGCAGCTCTGTACTGGCGAGCTGCAAGCTGTCTGAACATCGGAGAGAGACCCTTTGGGAGCTCCATTGGTTTTCAGCAAGTCTTTGCATGCAGTGTGTTTGTACTAGCTGAAGACAGCGCATGGCTCTCTAAATAATTTACAAGTTGATTAATAGACTCACATGGGTATAATTAGAAGAGGGAGAGACAGCAGCTACAGTAACGGGTACAGTGCTTGGGGGAACTAGAGACTTTATTTTTTTTTTAAGAAACTTTCTAGGGTGCTGGGCGTTTGAAGATAAGTTGGGAAGAGCTCAGTGCCTCTTCTCTTTTGAAGTGGAAATAGGACAGTTTGAATCCGTCGAGTTTAATTTTTCACAAGCTTTAGGGGCCCTGCAG